GTCCCACGCGGATACCCCGCGTTCCTCTCCCTTCCGCGGCTCCCACGCGCCCTGCCTGCGGCGCCACGTCCACCTCGTCCTCGTTCTGTCGGCGCGCTGGCGTCGGCTGCGGTGCGGTCGGGGGTGATGGGTCCATCCGCGAGACGGGATCCGGAGCTCGAGGGATCCGCGGAGAGCGCGTTGCCGGAACCTGCGCCTGGCGGTCTTCGCCCGCGTGTCCCTGCGCACCCCTCCGCAAGCGAGCCCGTCCGCCGCTTCGACCGGGTGCTGACTCTTCCCCAACGGCCTGCCCCGCGCCCCACCTCGCCGGAGTATTCGTGGGCCCCTGCGCGTGTTGCGTCGAACCGCCCGGACGGTCCGCCGCGGCAGGAGCGCGGGCGCTCGCCTCTGCGTCAGCCTCCGCGGCAGCCCTCTCCTCGGCGCCCATCTCCTGAGCATCGCGAGGCTCATCCGCGGGGTGGGGGCGATCGGCGATCCCCTGGGCGTCCTCATTCTCCTCGCCACCCGTCTCCTCGTGGTCGGGCAGGCCAGCGCTCACCCCGAGCGCGATCCCCCGCGCAACGGTCTCCGCGGCGATCTCCGGCGACGAGGGGGAGGGGGTCGCCTGGACGTCGCTGGGATTCGGGGCGTCGCGAGCAGTCCCCCCCGCGTCCTCACTCGGCAGGTTCTGGCGGCCGGCGAGGCCGGCGGAATGGCGGAGGTCGTGGCGGTAATGGTCGTCAGCAGGATCCTGCCCTCGATCACGCCGCAGACACGTTTGTGGAGGTGGTGCGGCAGGCCCGGGCGAGTGGGGGGCCGACTCACGTCCATATAGAGGTGACCAACGGTCCCCCCTTCGCCGCGGACCCTGGCCAGGTTGCTCCTCTGCGCGCGGCGACGCTGAGCGAATATCGGCCCGCGCGAGAGGGGAGGGCTCAGTTCCGCACCCCCCGTCAGGTCCCCGGCTTCTCTGCGCCGCGCTTATCTGTTGGCCGAACTCCAGGCTGGCCGACGGCGTATCCGCGCGAAGCGCCGACTGCACCTCCCCCCACTCGCGCGGGGAGAGACCCCATGCTGACCATGTGCCGGATTCTGAATCTAGCGGAGGCGTGCGAGGTGGTGGCGAACTTGCAGCTGGCGGTGTGTGGGGCCACGCGGAGCCTTCCGAGCAGTTTCGGTCCAGGATCCCGAGGATCCTGCGTGACTTTGGCAGAATCGCTCGAGTCGCCGTTGGCACCCGTGTCGGATGCGCCCGCCCGGGTAGCTCCCTTAGCCCGTACCTTCCCCCGCCACGTGGGGGATCTTGTAGGGGCTGCTCAGGCCGGGACCCCCTTGGACACGCTCCAGTCGTCGGCGCATCTCCTTCTTGCAGTATCGGCGTGCATGCGCTCGATGCTTGAGGTGGAGGGGGCGGAGCCGTACACGATGTAGGCCTCCGCCGCGTGTAGAATTGCATGCCGCGCCTCTTGCTCTTGCCTGCCCCCTTGCCTTGTGTGTTTGTATGCCCTTTATATGCCGAACTCGCGTCTTGTGTCTTGCCACCCCTAACGCGCGGCCGAAGGCCGCGCTTGCGAGCGGCGGCGGCCGAAGGCCGCCGGCGCGAGCCGCCGAATGTGAAACACCAACGAAATAATGAGGTAGGAAAGGCACGGAGGGCCCCTTAAATAGGACCAGAGGGTGAGGGCAGAGGGAAGAGGGAGAGGGCTGGATGCTAAGGCCTTCTCTCTCTCTCTCTCTCTCTCTCTCTCTCTCTCTCTCTCTCTCTCTCTCTCTCTCTCTCTCTTAAACGGTCCTTTGTATTAATTCAGCAGGGGTACAAACATGCGGTGCTATCCATGATAACCTCTATCCCTTAAGCCCCAAAACTTACCACTCTTCACCCCCCCCCCTGAGTGACCCTCTAGCCCTCCAGCGTGTGGAGGATGTCCCCCAGGTGCAGCGGCCAGGGGTCCGCTGCCATCTGGGGGTGCGCTGCCTCGATCCCAGCCCTGGCCTTGGTGTGCAGGGCATTAGCCTGGGAGCGCTGGAGGGCCACTGACCAGCGCTGGCTGAAGTGGCAGGCCATCTTCTTGGCCGATTTTGCCAGGGGGTTGGCCCTGAACCGGTTCCTAGCTGCTGCTGTGGCCAGCAGCTTCAGGAACGCAGTCGTGGTGGGCGCGTTTGCCCCGTAGGTCTCGACGGCTAGGGCGCAGAACACCACGTGTTCCGTGTGTCGGTAGTACTCCCTCTCCTTCCGCCTCTGTGCCTCTCTAGCAGCCCAGCCTGGGGGTTTGCGGGCTGTGGGGTCCCGGTTCTGCAGCACGGGGTCTGTGATAGTGGTGTCTGTGATCCAAGTCTCTCCACTGTCCGGGTCGCGTACAATCACATCGGCTTTCTTCGGGTCATCCGGCGGTGAGTACATGGCGTTCTCCAGGTATACCACCAGCTGTGCTTCCCTTGCCATTTTAGCCACGGCAAAAGCTAGCTGGTTGTGTGTGCGTGTCCTGTCGGGGCCTGTGCTGCAGCGGAGTAGGTGGTTGGGTAGGCTGCAATCGGCTACGAGTTCTCCACACTCGCACACAGTGGGTACATTCTGTCGGATGCCCATGCGGAAGGCCAGGGCTGCTCGGAATTGTCCCGGTGAGAAGCAAAGGTCCGGGGTCAAAGGTAGGGCCTGCAGCCATGCTCCCGCTCCCTCCCCTCTCAGGCTGATGAGGCGGAGTGAGTGACCCATCTCGGGGGCTGACTGGATGGTGCGTGACTCCTCTGTCAAGGCGTCGGCCTTTGCCGCGTGCACCTCTTGAGAGAGGGCGCGTTGCAGCTGGTCTTGGGACGGGGTTTGCTGCTCCTCCCGGAGGTTTTGTAGCGCCAGCGGTGGCAGGCGCCCCTCCATGTCCTGGATGGTTACTGAGTGCGCTGCGGACGGCTGCAGGGTGTTGTTGTTGGCCCCCAGTGCCGCGGTTGCTGGTAGGTCAAGGGAGCGGAGCAGTCGTAGCGCCTCCGTCGTTGATGCCAGGTAGGCCGGTGCTGCTTCTGTTGTGGGGTCTGTAAGTCCCAGCCCGCCCAGGGCGACTGGAAGAGTTGCTTGTCGGAGCAGGAAGTTGAACTCGGCTTCTCGGCGTGGCGGTTGAATGCTGGCGGCGGTCAAGGCCGTGTGCAGTAGTTCGGAGCACCATGTGTGCCATTCCGAGAGGGGTAAGACGTCTGCTGGGGTAGTGCGTAGCAGGTAGCCGATTCTGCGGCTGATGCAGCGGGACAGTAGCAGGAGGGCATGTTGTGGGTGGATGGACGCCAGGGAACCCAAGGGGGCTGCCGCGTCTGTCAGGGTACTGCGGACAAAGGCAGAGCAGAAGCTCTGCGACCCCACAGGACTTCCCAACACCCGTACCCCCTCGTGGGTGTGGGGGAGGCCTTCAGGGAGCACGACACCTCCAAGCGGCATGGAGGACCACGCCGACGACTTCATAAAGTTGCAGGTGAGGCCATCCTGTGCTAGTAGCGGCGTGAGCTCCCTTAGCGCGTCTAGCGTCGCCGTCGCGGGTCCAATCATGGTTATGTCGTCTGCGTACGCGAGGACGGTGACTTCCGGGTGCTCCGCTGCCACGTGCCTGAGGTGCTGCTGGATAGACGCCGCGAATAGCAGGGGTCCGAGGGGATCCCCCTGTGTGACTCCTCTTCCGCTGGTGAGTGCCGTGGAATTGAAGCATGGGTCCAGCAGCAGCGCTGATGGCGATGCGTAGAAAGAGCGTGTGAAGGGGATGAGGGGGGCTAGCGGGGAGCCGATAAGTGCGTTGAAGAACGCGCTCCTCTCGACTGAGTTGAACGCGTTCTCAATGTCGAGTTGGAGGACTAGGCTGGAGGGCTGCACGGTGGTGAGGTCTCTGATTGCATGGATGACGAACTCAGCACCTCCCGGGACTGCCACGCCAAATTGCTGAGGTAGGAAAAATTTTCGCGTTTCTCCTTGCAGGTCTGAGAGTGCCACTTTCGCCGCCAGCCTAAGCAATGTTTCTCCAATCGCGATTGGGCGTACCCCCCCCCCTGGTTTGGCGAAGGCTATAAGGCGGGACGGGGCGAGTAGGGCTGCAACCTCGGTGGAAAGGTTTGTCGAGAGCAGGTGTTTAACGGCGGAGTGGAGGTGCCCTAGTACCTCGATGTTACTTAGCGCTGGATCGCGGTAGTGTTCGAAGGTTGACCCCGATGGGCCAGCCCCAATTCCCCTGGGGCATTCCCCGAGGACGTCCGAAAAGCTTTCCAGGGTGGTTGAAAATTGTGTGGGTGTCGTGTAGGAGTGGACCCAGTCGGGCAGGTCATTTTGGGGTTGGGGGTGTTTCGATTCCAGCTGCTGCAGTGTCGCGAATGTCGCCGGTGCTGATGGCGAGGGTTGAAGGGCCGCTAACGCCTTTCGCAGGTTACCCCTTTTCACCAACCCCTCCGCACGTGAGCAGATTCCCAGCGGGTCACGTTGGTGCTGAGGTGGTTCGGCCAGGTGCATTGACCCCAAGTATTCGGTGTACAGCTGGGTCCAGTGTCCACATCGGAATAGATGCATCTGTGCCCGCAGCAGTTTCCACCTAGAGCTGGATCTCCGGCTAAGTCTTAGCGTGAGACGTGGCAGGAACATGAGGACCCGCCACGCTCCCGCGCAATTAGGCAGCTTTGAGATCCGTAGTAAGGCAGCCAGCATACAGGTGGAGTAGTCGCTGAGGATCTGCGGCGGCAGTCGGCGGACGATTGGTTGGTGGGTGATGGATGTTAGGAGCGTAAGGTCCCAGGTCATCGCGATCTGGAAAAGATCCTCCCGCGAGGCCAGCTGGGACGCAGATAGGGCTTGGTCCGGTGGGGGCTGGGCTCTGCGCTGCTGTCTGCGGTTGGTTCCTCTCTCCTGTTGCTGCGCCACCTCCTCTCCTGATTCCGCGCGAGGTGAGTCGGGATTGTCTGGTTGCCTCAAATCTGACGGTATATAGTCCTCGTCTCTCGCCTCTCTGATGATATCGACGTTCCTCCCTGCTTGCGCTGGTGCACCACCTCTCGCCCCGCGCCTAGCGAACGACTGCCGCGTGATTCGTTCCGCCGGCTCCCCTAGCCAGATTGGGCTCGGTGGTTGGCGCCCGCGCCCCCTCGCCGCTTGACCTGCGCTCCTCTGTCCTCCGCGCGCTCCTCGTCGCGATCCTCTCCCCCGCGCGCTTCCCCGTCCGCTCTGCGGGGTCCCTGCTGCTAGCGCCGCCTGTTGCGTGGGGAAAGTCGGGGTTGTAGGCTCCCCTTGTGTTGGAATTGCGCCTTGTGCTTGCGCAGATGGCGCTTCCGTCCGCCCACGACCGCGAGTGTACCGCGGAGAGTGCTTCCGCCACGCCCGGCGGTGAGCGTTCCTGCTCGTCCTCCCGCTGCTGCGGACCAAATCCGGCGCCGATTTGAGGACCAGCGCCGTCCTCCCGGGCCGCGCGTCGCTGATTCGCCTCCGAGAGTGGCAACCCGCGCGGAGTCCGCTGTGCGTTCTGGCGCCTTGGCGGAGCCGCACCGGGGGCGTTCTCCGCGTCGTCGGACGCCTGAGCCTCGTGACGAACGCTGCGAGGGGCGGCGTGAAGATCGCCGCGAGCGTCGCTCCCCTCGTCGTCAGGGGAGCCGCAGCCGTTCCCCTGGGCGTCGTACGCCAAGTCACCGTTCCCCATCTCGCCATTCGCCTCGCTGTCATTCACCCGCGCGCCGATCCTCAGGGCGTCGCTCTCCTGCTCGCCGTTCTCCGCGCGAATCGCCGGTGAAGCGCCAGCGGCGCCATTCTCCATCGCGTCGTGAGCGATCCCCTGCGCTCCGCCCGCGCAGCACGTCCCGGCCCCAATCTCCAGCCCGCTCGTGGTCGAATAGTCGTGGGCGGCGTGGCAGTCGCGGGGGCCGCGGACGCGAGGGCGGGGGTCGCCAGTCTGCGTCGGACTTTGCGCGCGCCCTGGAGAGGCTTCCGGACGTGCTCGCAACTGCTCTCCGTGAGTCGCAGGCGGCGACAGCCTGTCGCTCCGTTCCGCCAGACGCTCCTCGTTCTCTTCCCGCCATTGTCGAGGTAGCCAACCGTGCGGTGTCCCCGCAGCGCTCTGTCCAGCAGCCGCCTGTTCTCCCGGGTTTTGTTGGCGCTGGCGGAGGCCCAGCAAGGGGTCCGTATCGTGACCCTCGTCCTCGCCTTGAGGAGGCGGAGTATTCATGTTCCACGGCGACCCTGCGTCAGCTGTGGATACTGTCGGAGTGCCTAGAGGCACTGGCGCGTGTTCTCCGGTCGACTCGTGCGTCGATGCCGATATCCCGCCCGAGCACATTTGCTGAGAAACCGCAAGCAGCGTGCTTGGGGGCGGCGGATGAGATCCTATCCCTCTTGGCGCCACTGCAGGCAGCGCCCTCCCCGGGTGCAGACGCGGCCAACCTGCTGGCTCGCGCGGCCCTGGATCTGAGGCACATTGCAGGGTCGGTTGAAGGCACACCCGGAGATGCTCTAACCGCCTGCGTGTCAGTGGTCCGCCACTTGTGGCAGACCACGCGCGGAATGCTCTCGTTTCTGGGGGCGGACCGCATGTAGGTGCCCCCCTTTGTCTTGTGTAGACCTTCTCCATGATGCCTGCTAGTTGATGATGATTGTCGCCATGCTGTCTGCTAAAGTTGTCCCGTTACCTAAGCTTGCCTCCTAAAATGCGCGGCCGTAGGCCGCGCCGGCGCGAAGCGCCGGAAAATTTGGAATCACCAAATGAATAATGAGCTAGGGAAGGTGCCGGCTGGCCATTATATAGCTGGGGGAAGGGGAAGAGGCTAGGAGGGAAGAGGCTAAGTCCCCCTTTCTCTCTCGCTCTCTCGAAACGAGCACCGGAAAATTTGGAATCACCAAATGAATAATGAGCTAGGGAAGGTGCCGGCTGGCCATTATATAGCTGGGGGAAGGGGAAGAGGCTAGGAGGGAAGAGGCTAAGTCCCCCTTTCTCTCTCTCTCTCTCTCAAAAGCGGTCCATGTATTAACAACCCAGGATGCTGCTGCTATGTTGCACTTTTCCAGGTACCCAATCTACTGCCCACGTTGAAGAGCCACCGACCACCGCTGCCGGTATTGGTGTAAGAGCTTGGCAGCTTGGTAGGAGGTTGGCCAGGCGTTGAAAAACCGCCGTGCAGCCGTTTCTGCGAGTAATTTCAGGAAGTCTACTGACTCAGGGCATGGGCTCCTGTATGTCTCGACCGCTAGTGGGAAAAACTTCACCCACTCTGGGCGGTCCTTGTAAAGGCCGTGTTTCTTATCTGCTGCCTCCTGTGCCGCCCACCCCCTCCCCTTGGTGGCGTTCTCATCGCGGGTGCTGATGGGGTCCGTTACCGTCACATCGCAGATGTAGACGGCACCAGTGGAGCGGCAGCGTAAGGCCAGGTCTGCCTTCTTCTCCTCCACTGGGCTGAAGGCGGCCGTCTCGATATGCACCATGAAGCCAGCATCTTGCACCATCCGTGCGCACTCGTCTCTAAGTTCATTGTGTGTGTTTGTGCGCCCCCCCCTGTTCCGCATCGTAGCAGGTGATTCGAGAGCCGCTTATCCGGGATCTCTACCTTCTTTGAGCAGTTGCAAACCCCAGGAGCTGCAAAGGGGAGCCCCAGCCGAAACTGGATCGCGTTGGCATAGTGGGGAGCCTCAAGGCGGAGCGAGGAGTGGATGGGCACTGCGTTTAACCAGTCCCCCGCCCCATACCTTGACAGGGACAGCAACCGCTGCGTGTGACCGTTGTTGGGGTTCGGGCTCATCCCCCGCACCTCCTCCACCTGCACGGCATAGCGCTGGCCCTGAATAGCCGTGGCCAACCCGTTCTGCAGTTTTCCTGCAGTTGGTGCCGATCTCTCAGCCTGAAGAGCTTCTTGGGCTGGAAGTGGAAGTTCCCCTTCGCATTCCGCAAGCCATTCGGTCAAGGGGGAGGACTCGGTGTAGGGGCCGCGCATCAGTTCGCGCGTGACTTCCAATGGGCCAGTGCACTCGCTGTCCAGTGAGTCAAGCAGGAGCTGCGCCTGCGTGTAGCTGGCGAGGAAGCTGTAGCTTCCCTCTACGGAAGGGTCCGTCAGCCCAAAACCACCGAGCGACACGGGGAGTGAGGCTTGCGCCCACGTGCGTGAAGTTTCCTCGTCCCCACGCGGGTGCTTAATGCCGCACGCTGTAAGGAGTGTTTCCAGCAGCCTCTGTCCCCATTCAGACCACTCCTCCTTTGGCAGGAAAGGCAGAGGAGTTGTGCGGGCTAAGTATGACACTCGGCGAGAGATGCACGGAGAAAGCAGCAGACCCACCAGCTGCGGCTCCATCCGCTCAATCAATCCCAGCGGCGCGCCCATTTCCTCCAGGCTGGACCATACGAAGGCGGAGGTTGCCGTGGAGGTGCCAATGTAGCTGCCCAGCACTTTCAAGCCGTCGCTGCTGGGCGGAACCCCTTCAGGCAGGCGATAGTCCATGGGCGTCCTGCTAGACCAAGCCCCGCATTTGGCAGGATTGTGGCTGAGCCCGATTTCTGCCAAGCGGCCCGTGAAGTGATTAAAAGCAGCTGCGCATGACGACGGCTCTCCCAGGAAGGTCATGTCGTCCGCGTAGGCCAGGCAGATGACCTCGGGGTGTGCCTCCGCAGCTGCTTTCAAAGCTGGTTGCATGGCCGCGGCAAAAAGAAGGGGGCCCAAGGGATCTCCTTGGCGGACTCCAGTTTCACTGAGCAAGGGCGGGTGGTCGAAGGCTGCGTCCAGATGCAGTGTGGAGGGCTGGCCGTACGAGAAGTGCACCAATGGCAACAGTGGTTCTAGCTGCGATCCTTTCAAGGCCGTCGCTATGGCGTGGCGGTTGACACTATTGAACGCATTGGCCAGGTCAGCCTGTAATACCAGTGCGTCCTGGTTGGCCGCAGTGAAGGTCCGAACGACATGTATGATTGTTTCTGCTCCTCCTGGCACGGCCACTCCAAATTGTAAAGGTAAGAAATACTCTCGTGCCGCATCTGCTACCTGGGTAAGCGCTGCTTTGGCTGCTAAACGGAGGATGCACTCGCCTATGGCAATTGGCCTTGTCCCTCCACCCGGTTTGTCGAGGGCTATCAAGCGCGAGGCTGTAAGAAGCTTCCCTACTTCCTGGTGCAACTTCCCTTTCAGGATTGTGTTGACCAATGCATGTAAGTGAGAACCAACGGTGGTGTGCAGCAGGGCAGCTTCGCGCAGGTGCTCGAACGTTGTGCCTGAGGGACCCGCGCCTACCCCGTTCTCACATCGCGAGAGGAGCTTTAGGAAAACTCCCCACGGGACACTTATATAGCTAGGAGACTAGGGCCAGAGGCTAAGTCCTCTCTCTCTCTCTCTCGAACGGTCCTTCGTATTAATAGCATCAAGGTACAGTCATTGGTACTAAGCTAGTCTAAGCAATCAACCGGCAATCAAGCAAGCCAACAACCAAACACACAAGCAAACAAACAAACAAACAAACAAACAAACAAACAAATACACCAAGGTACCACTGCTCTTCCCTCCCCTACCCCCTCTCCCCACGGCCCTACTGGCCTGTGGGGTCTTCCAGCAGCTGGTACAGCTGCTCCTCCCCCAGGCTGCCAAACGGGCCTTGCAGGCCAAGCTCATCCGCGGCAATGGCCTCGTGGGTCTTGTCGCGAAGGGCGTTGGCCTGGGCGCGCTGGAGAGTCACACTCCAGCGCTGCCGGTACTCCGTGAGGAGCCTGGCCACCTCCCTCGACTTCGGCGCAGCGTTGAACCGCCGCTTGCCCGCGAGCTCGGCGCAGCTGCGGAGGAAGGCGTGCACTCCCGGGGACGGGTAGCCGTACGTCTCCACCGCCATGGCGTGGAAGCCTACCCATGCGTTCCGCCGCGCGTACTTGTCCTCTTTCCTGGCGGCTTGCATCCTTGCAGCCCACCCAGGCGCCTTCCGCGCAAGCTCATCCTGGTGGGAGACCGGGTCCGTCACGGTGATGTCGCACATGTGAACCTCGCCGGTGTCGGGATGGCGGATGCAAACATCCGCTTTGAGGTTTTCGACCGGAGAGTAAACTGTAGATTCCGTGTGCACCGTGTATCCTGCCTCTGCTGCGATCTTCGCACACTCATCACGAAGGGCATGGTGAGTGGCAATCCTCCCCCCGCCTTTCTCACAGCGCATGAGGTGGTTGGGAAGGCGGTGGTCAGGGAAGGTCGTGCGGTAGCGGCAGTCGCAACGCCGTGGGACAGGAAGGGGGAGGCCTAGGCGGAAGGAGGCTGCAGTGGAGTGCTGCGAGGGGCCTAGGCGTAGAGCCGGGATCAGGGGGATGGCCAGCAGCCAATCTCTTGCCCCAAGGCCGAGGAGAGACTGCAGGCGCTGGGTGTGGCCAAAGAGAGGGTTCAAGGGCATTTCCCGAGAGGCGTCGAGCAGCTCAATGTAACGGGCGGTATGGACTGCCAGCGACAAGGCCTGCTGTAGCTTCGGACCATCAGGGGTGCGCCGGCCGACCTGAAGCGCCTCTAGTCCGTCTGGGGGCAGCGCGGCCTCTGCCGCTGCCAGGCGCCGTGGCAGGGCCGAAGGTGAGTCTGCATCTGCATCCATCAGTGGCAGCATACGGGCGATGGCAGGGTGCACCGTGTCGCCGAATGAGTGTAGCAGATGGGCACTGGAGATGACCGAGGCCAGGTACGCGAACGCCCCTTCCGTGGCTGGGTTGGTGATGCCGAGGCCGCCCAGTGTCACGGGCAGGGCTGCTTGCCGCCAGATTCTCCCCCGCTCCTCCTCTTCCCTTGGTATCGCCGTGTGTGCAGCTGACAGGTAAGTGTGCAGCAGCTGTTCCCCCCACGCCGACCAAGTATCCTCTGGCTGCACGTCTAGCGGCGTCGTTCGAACGAGGTAGGAGGCACGGCGGCTCACGCACCGTGTGAGAAGGAGCAGGCACAGCTGCGGGTCCATTTGAGACAGGAGCGGTAGTGGCTCTGCTGCTGCTGACAGGCGCTCCTGTACCATCGCCGCGCATCCTGACTGTGGTCCGATTGGGCTCCCCAGGACGCGGATCCCGTCAGCCGAGAAGGGGACGTGCTGGGGCAGGGAAGCGGGGTCAACGTGAGCGGCCGACCACGCCGCGCATTTCACAGGGTTGTGCTCCAGCCCCAGGGAGAGCAGGGCGCTGGTGAGGTGAGTGAACGCCCGCGTGCACGCCGCTGCTTCCCCCAAGAGTGTAATGTCATCCGCGTACGCGAGGATGACGACTCCTGGGTGCGCCTCCGCCGTTGCTGCCAGGCAGGGGTGGACGCTGGCAGCGAAGAGAAGGGGCCCCAGTGGATCCCCTTGGCAAACGCCGCGCGCGGACTGTAGGGGGGGAGTGTGAAACGCGTGGTCGAGGTGTAGTGCCGAGGGGGAGCCATAGCTCAGCCGCACCAGGGGCACCATGAACTCCAGGGTGGTCCCCTTCAGGCCTTCGAACACCGCCGCTCGCTCGACCGCGTTAAAGGCATTCGCTAGGTCGATCTGCAGCGCCACTGCCCCTGTATTCTCCTCCAGGTACGTTCTGGCGGTATGCACTGCTGCTTCAATGCCGCCAGCTATCGCCACGCCGAATTGGAGCGGAGCGAAGTGTTCACGTGCTTTCTCGGCCGCCAAGAATAATGCCGCTTTGGCGACCAGCCGTAGCAGGCACTCGCCCACCGCAATCGGCCGTGTACCCCCATGTGGCTTGGCGAATGCGAGTAAGCGTGATGCTGTGAGGAGTTCTGCTGCTTCTGTGCTAAGTTTCCCGGCCAGCGCAGTGTTCGTAAGTGCGTGCAACTGTAGGAAGATGTCTGTGTTTCCTAAGGCAGCGTCCCTCAGGTGTTCAAAGGTGGTGCCTGAGGGGCCAGCGCCCACTCCATTCGGGCACTTGGCGAGGATGCGCCTGAAGACGCGTGGATGGATTGTAGGGGTTGTGTCTGTGGTGAACTCCCGTACCCAGTCAGGGATGGCTTGGCGCGCAGGGGGGTGTCTAGCTGAGAGGGCTTGGAGCACGTCCGTGGATGGGGAGGAGACTGGCGTGGCTGTTAGGGATTGGAGTGATTTCGCCAGGTTTCCTCGTTTGGCCAATCCCTCAGCCCTTGCCAGGATGCCTGTGGTGTCTGGCGCGTGGCGGGGCTGGGGAGGTTGGGATACTGCGTCAGCCGCCTCGTCATACAGGTTCCGCCAGAGGCCTTGGCGGAACTGAATTATCCTGGCGCCAACCTTCGCCCACTCTGGGCGCTTGGCTGACGAGGTGCGCAATAGGATGCGCGGGAGGAACATTAGCAGCCTCCACCCCGCGGGTGAGTCAGGGTCTTGGGCGAGGTGTAACAACGGGGTGAGGAGGCAAGCAGCGAAAGAGTCGCGAAGAGTGCGAGGTGGGTGACGGGCGAGTGGTGGTTGCCTGCTGTCGCGAAGGGGGTTGAGATCCCATGTTGCGACGTCGGCGAAAAGGTCCTGGCGTTTTGCCAGGTCGCCAGCACTGAACATTGGCTGGCGGGTGGGTAAGTCTGCGCCCTGCTGATTGGTTTGGGAAGGGGTGCCATCTGCAATTTGTGCGGCTCGGTTTCCCCCGCCGACTCGAATCTGTCTCCCAATTCGAACTGCAGATGCGCCTCGGCTATGTGTTGGGTTTTGAGCCAACTCCTCGTGCTGCTCTGCCTCTTCCACCTGAGGAGAGGGACTAGAACTCCCCTCTCTTTCAGGGTTAAAAAGTGGGTCACCCACGGAGTTTTCATCACTCGATTCTTCTCCATCTCCAGCTCTCCCCCGCAGGATCCGGTGAGCGGTCCTCGCGAAGCTACTAGCCCCCCGTCGTTGAACTGTGACGCCTCCTCTGCGTCCGCCTCGTCTCCCACCTCTAGCCATGCGGATACCTCGCGGCGTGCCTGCCGCTGCGTCGCGGCGTGCTGGCTGTGGCGCGGAGGTAGAACCACGGCCTCGTCCTTGACGTCCTGCTAGCGTCCGTGGCTCCGTGCTCCGGCGTAATGGACCCAACCGCGGGTCGCGACCGCGCGCAGGAGAGTACTGCAGAGAGCGCACGGCTTGATCCGCCCCGTGCGCAGGGGCCTGCTGCTCCTCGTCCCCTTGCTGCAGCGCGCCCCTCCGCGTCTGAGCCTGTCCCCCGCCTTGAGCGCGGGCTGTCTCTTCCTCTTCGACATGTTCCGCAGCCTCATACGTCGGAGTACTCGTGGGTCCCCGCTCAGATTGCCTCAAGCCGACCTGCTGCTCAGCCGCGTCAGGAGCGCGGGCGTTCGCCGCCGCGCCAGCAGCCGCGGCAGCAATCTCCTCGCCGCCGATCCCCAGAGCGTCGCGAAGATCAGCGGGACGGCGCTGGCGATCAGCTGTCCCCTGCAGGCCATCGCTCTCCTCGCCGCCCATCTCCTCGTGGTCGGGCAGGCCAGCGCTCACCCCGAGCGCGATCCCCCGAGAAACGCTCTCCGCCGCGGTCTCCGGCGACGCGGGGGAGGGGGTCGCCTGGGCGTCGCTGGGATTCGGGTCGCCGCGAGCAGACCCCCCCGCGTCCACTCTCTCTCTCTCTCTCTCTCTCTCTCTCTCTCTCTCTCTCTCTCTCTCTCTCTCTCTCTCTCTCTCTCTCTCTCTCTCTCTCTCTCTCGCTCTCTCTCCACCTACCAAATCTGGAACCAAATGAACTAATCGGCGGCCTCTGCTTCAAAATCTGGAACCAAATGAACTAATGAAGAAAAGAGGTCCACACGGGACACTTATATAGCTAGGAGACTAGGGGCAGAGGCTGAGGGCAGAGGCTAAGTCCTCTCTTTCTCTCTCTCGAATGGTCCTTGCATTACATATGTGGTGGTACAAAGGAAGATGCAAACACAAAGCAAAAACAAACACGCAAACCGGTATCCTATCTACCTCAAGTCCTCTCTCTCTCTCTCTCTCTCTCTCTCTCTCTCTCTCTCTCTCTCTCTCTCTCTCTCTCTCTCTCTCTCTCTCTCTCTCTCCCTCTCTCTCTCGTTTTCACTCTCTTTCCCCCCTCTCCTTCCCCCACCAGACCCCACGTACATGATCCGGGCCATCCCCGCGAACGCGAGTGACAACATCTACTGCACGCTGCTGGCGCACGGGGCAGTGCACGGGGTGATGGCCGGCTACACCGGCTTCATTGTGGGCCCCGTCAACAACCGCCACTGCTACATCCCCGTCAACGTCAGTGCACTCCCTCCCTCTCTCCTGCTCCTTCACTCCCCTCCCATGTCACCTCACTCACTCCCATCCTCACTCACTTCATTGTCGGCTCCGTCAACAACCGCCACTGCTACATCCCCGTCAATGTCAGTGCACTCCCTCACTCCCTCTCCGCCTCCACACATACCCACCCACCTCTTGACGAGCACTTCTCGTTTCTCCTCGTCTTCACTGACTAGTGTTGGGGGTGTTTGCATGTTCTCCTCAGCTCTGCCTTTTCTCGTATTCCTTTCTCACTATTCACTTTCAAGATTTTTTCCCGGCCTTGCTGCCCCTCTCATGTGTTATCTGATCCCCTGCTTCGTTTCTTCCTAACAACATGTCTCTCCCTTCCCTTTCTCTGTTTCATTCCTCCCTCCCTCCACTCTCGCCCCACAACAGAAGATAACACAGAAGCCCAACAGCATCTCTCTCACCTTTCTCATTTTCTCCTCTCTCCCTCCTCCCCCCCGTTTCCCCACACCAGAAGATAACACAGAAGCCCAACAGCATCTCTCTCACTGACCGCATGTGGGCGCGCCTCCTCGCCGCCACCTCACAGCCCTCCTTCCTTCGCATCGACTCCACCGCCACCGCTGCCACCGCCGCCACCACTGCCGTTTCTGCTGGTGCTGATGGTGCTGCGGCTGGGTCGTCTCAGGCGCCGGGAGGGGGTGTGATTGAGGGGGAGTATGGGGAGGTGGTCTTGGGGGATGTGGGGTTGGCGGCGAGTTATGCTCGGGAAGAGGAGGAGGATGGTGCAGGGGTGGTGCGGAGTGTGTTGGAAGAGCTTGGGGAGGACATGGGGATGGATGAGTTGGATGTGGTGGTTGGGGTTGGAAGGAGCGGGTATGCTGCTTCACATGCAGCTGCTTTTGAAACAGATGATGAGGCAGCAAAAAACGCTGGGGATGGAGTGGAGGGAGGTTTTCAAAAATGACGAACTGGTTAGAGAAAATCACGTAAAACATTTGTTTTTAGTAGAGAGCATCTATGCTAATAAGGAAATCTATTTACTTGATATAGGTCTATGGATTGTTCTAACTCTATGATAAGTTAATAGCTCTTACTGTACAGAGGTGTCGATAGCAGCACTCAACACTCCCCTTGCTTCGTTGGCATTCCGCGATGGGGGGGATGTTCTTCCAGTCGGCATTGTTGAACAGCGAACCTGGCTTCGAAGAGCCAGCGTTGAAGGGCCAGCGAGTCAGAGGGGCCCAGCTGGCTCTCCACTTGTAGTCTCATTTTCCGCCAGTTGCTTCCCCCAGCCTCCCCGCAACGCAACTCGGCTCCACGAGTCTCCTTGCTGTCACTTGTGACCTCGTAACCTGATACGATCTCATGATCTCATGACCTCGCGGTTGCTCATTACCCAACGAACCGCACTATATCGTTTATTCAACGCGTCAAAACTTGAGTTAACGTATTGCACCGCAAAAAACGAGTGGTCTCATGCCATCTGTCTCTCTAGCTTCCTCCGCTCCCTATGTTCCGCTCCCTAGATTCCACTACTCCCGTTATTGTGGTGGTGGTGACTTCTCCCTCGGTTCTGCTGGGTGACTAACACTGACTGGTCACGGGTCCCTTGGTTCATCCAGGGCTTCTCCCTCCAGCCTCCGTTTTACCAGAAACGACCTTCCCTTAAGCCTCACCACTTTACAACTCTCTCCAGCCGACTAAACCACGGGTCACCACGACTTGCGACACGCAGTGTCGTAGCACCCCTCCTGCTCATGATTGTCTCTTGACTCGAGACGCTCTGCTCTGACAGTTGCAGTTTTTGTCAACTAAAGCCATTGTACGGTTTTCGTAAGACTAGTTTCGGGCTTGCCTACCTCGATCGTTGGACGTAACAGCCACCTATAGTCGACCTGCCCTGCTCACGTGTACCTACCTCTCGTTACGACGGTTCAGGCTGTAGCGACTCGTGTATGGCGACACAAGTTTAGGAAATTTAGGGTTAGTACGTAGCGATTGCTTCCGCGGTCAGTTCAACGGCCATATATTCAATCCCTTACCTTTCAACTCGTCAACCTGGCCATGCCTTCAGGATAGAAAATTATTGATATATACGGATGACAATTCATTAGGCCTTTCATAGAATTCGCAAACGCGCGACACATGGATAATGCAGCGCCAATGGGGTAGTCATAAAAATGTGATAAGCAGCTTCTTTGATCGATAATGCTGTGTCAACTGGATAACTCGAGACAGTCACTACCGCGGATGAAATCGCAATAGCAGGCGAAGGCGGGAAGGAGGGAGGGGGAAGGAGCGGTGAGGCATGAGCGCGAGCGGGACAAGCACGCCGGGATGGGTAGGGTCGGGGTGCGAGCGCGTGGTGGTGGGAGTGGGGAAGGACCCGTGCAGCAAAGACGCGATCCGATGGGCCATCGCCAACAGGCTGCGACACCCCGACGACATGCTCATTCTGTTGCATGTGGTTACCAAAGTTCCCACCCATCAGAGTAAGCGCCTCGCTGGTCGCCCACAGGGATTTTCTGGCGCGGAAACCTCCGGTGTTCTGGCCGTGATGGTACCTTGCCGGTGTTGTGATGAGGCTTTTGGAACCTGCAATTCTTGCATTGCTGCTCGCGTATCGGCTTGCTTGAACTTGCTGACTTATACAGCTGACTCGATAGTGAGCAGGTTACGACTCAGCTCGCGTCTCTCCTCTCACACGGATCCGCCGTCGCCTTTTTTCTCGCTCGCATGGTGTGCATGGCTCGCATCTGTGATATGCGTGCATCCATGGGTGCGTGCATCCATGGGTGCGTGCATGCATGGGTGCGTGCATGCATGGGTGCGTGCATGCATGGGTGCGTGCATGCATGGGTGCGTACATGCATGGGTGCGTGCATGCATGCATGCATGCGTGCGTGTATGCGTGCGTGCATGGCCTGAGCAGAGGTGGAGATGTATCAGAGCGACGTGAACAACACAACATTCGTGCACTACGTGCGCACAGTGGTACAGCCCATGATGATCGAGCTCAAGCGCATGGTCGACTCCAAGGTGAGCAATTGCAGCAGCCCGCACTTCATTGACTTCATCCGTAGCAAAGGATCAAGGTAGCCGAGCCGTTTCTTATTGTTCAGTGATACGGCCCATGATGATCGAGCTCAAGGGCATGGTCGACTCAAAGGTGAGCCCGCAGCACCCCGTGATGATCCCAAGGTGAGCTCAAGGTAGCCTTTATTCATTGCGTATCAACCAGTAAAGGCCCAAGACAGACCTTCACGTACGTTGGTGTTAGTTCTGGTAGACTTTTGAGTCGACTCAAAGGTCACCTCGTAGCAACCAGGGCTACAGGTCCAGGGAGGACGTTCACGTTGATGCTGGTTTTGGGAGATTCGGAATGCTTCTTATTGCTGTTGCTGTGTAGGGCGGATGGTTTCCTAGAGGATTTGGTTGTTGAGGACGAGACGACACAGCATGAAGGGGGGTTTGCTAAAACGGTGCTGATGATGGTCGCTCCTGGTGCTTTGCGTGCGTGCGTGCGCGCGCGCGTGCGTGTATGTGTTTTTGTGCATACGCGTGTGGGAGTACGTGTGTGTGTGTTTGTATGCGTGTGAGCATGGAAAAGGGGGGAGGGGGAGTGTGCCTGGGTGGGAGTGTACATGTCTGGCTGTGTGTGCGTGTATGTGTGTCTGCGCACACGTGCGTGTGTGTGTGTGTGTGTGTGTGTTCATATGCATGTGTGCATGGCAGATAAGGCTGGAGTTGAAGGTGGGGAGGAACAACAGCAAGGAGAGGGGCATCGTGGACGAGTCCAGGAAGCTCAAGGCCACCACACTCGTCGTCGGCACCAACTCAAGAGGCATCTTTGGCATGTATGTGCCTGCGTGTGTGTGTGTGTGCACACTGGCGTGTGTACTGCGTGAAAATCCGCCCTCCCCCACAATAGCCACGTGAAATGAGGGTGCTTTTTAGACGTCTCAAAAACACCCTCATTTCACGTGCATGCGCTCTGCCGTGTGTATGTACTGCATGAAGAACCGCCCCCCCACAATATCCGTCTATATGGTGCTTAAGGACCGCGTCCCCTCGTGCAGTGGGTGAGCGAGCGATAGTGAGATAGAGAGAGAAATCAAAGCTGCTTTCACCCACAGTCTCCCCCACCCCTACCCCACCTCCCCCCCCACCCCTCCCCCACCCCACTCCCCTTCCCCATTCCCTCCCCTTTCCAGTCGCGGCCGTACGGGAGTGGGGGCGTATTGCATGAAGAACCGGCCTCCAACAGTGTCCGTCTACGTGGTGCTAAAGGACAAAGTCACCGCGTGCAGAGAGGCCGACTCCCTGCCCGGCTCCTCCTCCTCCGCGCCCACCAGCCCCGGTCACTTGCTTGTGGCGTCATCAGCACCGTTCCGCCACAGCCCGTCCATGTCCGCGCACCACCAGTCCGACCGCTCCTCCACACGCAGCTCGTCGGGGGTGCTGGAGCCCACCGACGGGCTCGGGTCTGACGATGCAGGTGGGTGGGTGGGTGGGGTGGGGGGGCCTTGAGAATTGGGTCAGTCAGCGTCCGCGCACCACCAGTGTGATCGCTCCTCCCCACACACAGCTCGTCAGGGAGAGCCCACCGATGAGCCCACCTCCGCGCAAAGCTCGTTAGGGGTGTTGGAGCCGAATGGTGCGTTTGATGATGCAGGTAGGTGGGAACTTGGAAGGGAACCACACCTTTGAGAATCGGGTCAGTCAGTGTTAGTCAGCATTGGCACACACATAACCAATCCAATCCGATTGCTCCTCCTCGCACAGCTCGTCTGGGGTGCTGGAGCCGAGCAATGCGTTTGATGATGCAGGTGGGTGGGGGGACCTTGACTTGAGAACTGGTTCAGTGAGCGTTGGTACCTAACCACCCACCTGCAATCGGGGTGGGGGGAGGAGCATTGGTACATAACCACCCCGATCGCTCCTCCACGCACAGCGCGTGTGGGGCATTGGAGCCGAGCTATGGGCTTGCATTTGATGATGCCGGTGAAAGGGAGGGAGGCTTATCTTAACAACTCACTCTATTTCTCTACTTGATGACAAAGGTGGCAATTGTGTATTATTTCTCACTCTCTTCTTCGGAATATAGGTTCTAGTGTAGCTCTGGTTACGGGTGCACAGACACGCATCGCTCTCGCCCTTCACTCCCTCTCCCTCAACCCAATCATGCAGAAGATGATGAAGCCGCAAGAACCAATGGCGCGCAGCCACCTGGCGCCGACTACCCCAGCAGCCCCAACGTCCACACCGCCCCACAGCCCTCCCGAGCCGGTACCTGGCCTCACGACCATGCTGGTGCTACCCTTACCACACCCGACGGTATAGCCGGCTTCCAAACCTACTCCCCAGGCTTGTCCGTTCCTCACGGCATGCCAGGGGCCTCCCCGATTCGGAATCCTGGGGACGGGGGCGATTTGGACTCCATGATGCAGATGAGAATGCAGCAGCTGCAGCTGCAGAACCAGCAGCAGATGCTGCTACTGCAACAGCAGCAGCAGCTGCAGCAGCTGCAGCAGCAGCAGCAGATGCAGCTGCAGCAGGTGCAGCAGCGGCTACAGAGAGACTATCTAGCAGAGGTGGACGCGTGGAGGAGGGCGAACCCCCAGGCGACCCCAGAGCAGCAGCAGGCATTCATGGCTGACCTAGAGGCGCGTATGGCTCAGGCCACTGCAGCCCTAGCAGGCATGCCGCTCCATGACGCCGCTGCCATACTCGGTGGTAACCAGCAGGCTCGGCCCGAGCCTGGGGGCTCGCCTCAGGTTGCCGTGGCACAGGGAGTGGCTCGGGAGGCGGATGCAGCTGCGAGGATTGGGCAGATGGCTGTAGACGCGGAGAGGGCGCGGGCAGCCGCGGAAGAGGGGAGGAGAGCAGCGGAAGAGGAGGTGGGGAGGCGAGAGGGGAGGGGGGAGGAGGTGGAGAAGGGGGCGGGTGGTGGAGGAGGAGCGGCGGGGGGAGGGGAACCGGTTGCGCCAGTGGTGCGGCGGGTGCATCACTACAGGGAATACTCGTATGAAGAAATCCTGGTGCGTTGCTGAGTCGGGTAGAAGAAGAATTGGGAAGAAAATTCGGAGGCGTTTGGCGCTGGGGGGTGTAGAAGCAATGCCATGAGGGGGAGGATATGTGTGTGAGGTTGCTTTCAGAGTGGGAGAGTGCATGAGTACAGCCCTGCACTCTACACCCTGCCTTCCTTGCTAACCCCTTTTCCGCCCACCCCCTCTGTGCCTTCCCCACTAATGTCTCACTCTTTCCCTCCCCCTCGCACGAAGCAGAGGGGGAGAGTGCATGAGTACAGCCCTGCACTCTACACCCTGCCTGCACTGCTTCCTGCTCACTAAACCCCCTCTCCACCCACCCCTCTTGGGCCTCGTCACTGGCGTGGCGTCTCACTCTCCCTCACCAACGCTCCAAGCAGGCAGTGACTGACAACTTCAGTGTGGGGAGAACGCTAGGGCTTTGGCACCGTGTGTGTGTGTACTCTGACACACTGCACCACACGCCCTGCTCCCTCTTCTGCCCCGCTGACCATTCCTGAGCCTCCCCCTCTCCCCCGGGCTTACCCCCCTCTTCGGAGCTCCTGTGCACCCCCCTCCCACCCCTCCTGTGCTGTCAATGGTAAACAGGTGGGCTGCGGAGGTCTTATGTCCATCAACTTAAACTGTGTCTTAGGACGACGAAGCAAACTCCATGAAATGAAAAAATGAGAGAGCCTGGAAAGCTTGTGAGCTAGAGCGTCTTAGAGAGCCAGATTGAACAGAATCGTCAACGCACCAAGCTCCTGTACACCCCCCTCCCACCCCTCATGTACACCCCCCTCCCACCCCTCCTGTACACCCCCCTCCCACCCCTCCTGTACACCCCCCTCCCACCCCTCCTGTACACCCCCCTCCCACCCCTCCTGTACACCCCCCTCCCACCCCTCCTGTACACCCCCCTCCCACCCCTCCTGTACAGCCCCCTCCCACCCCTCCTGTACACCCCCCTCCCACCCCTCCTGTGCCTCCCCCATCTTCCTTCCCCACTGGCGTCTCTCTCTCTCTCACACACCAACACACCAAGCAGGCTGCGACGGAGAACTTCAGTGCGGAGAGAAAGCTGGGCGAGGGGGGCTTTGGCACCGTGTACTGTACTCTGGAACGCTGCACCACACACGCTGCTCCCTGCCTGCGCCCCTCCTTCCGCCTTTCTGACCACCTCCTCCCCCCGTGCTCCCCTCCTCCCCCCTGCACCACCCCATCTGTTCTTCCCCTCTCCCTTCCCTTCCCGCTGCACCTCACCCCCTGCATTTCAATCTTCGCCCCGCCCTCCCTCGCACCAAGCAGGCAGCAACGGACAACTTCAGTGCGGAGAGAAAGCTGGGCGAGGGGGGGTTCGGCACCGTGCACTCCGGCACGCTGCACCACACGCCCTGCTCCCCGCCTGCCCACCCAACCCTGCTTGAACTCCCATTCTCTGCCTCTCCCCCCCGTGCTTCCCCTCCTCTGCTCCTCCCCTCCTGCACCTCCCCCCGCGCCTCTCACTCTGTGCCTCCCCCCCCCTGTGTCTCTTTCTCCCCACCCAACGCACCAAGCAGGCAGCAACGGACAACTTCAGTGCGGCGCGCAAGCTGGGCGAGGGAGGGTTCGGCACTGTGTACTCGGGCACGCTGCACCACACGCCCGTGGCCGTGAAGCTGCTCAAGAGCCAGGACTCCATTCAGGCCATGGCGGAGTTTCAACAGGAGGTGGGTGGGTTGGTGCATGCGTGCTGTTTAAGATCCCCTTGCGTGCATGAGCGTACTCTTATCCCCCTCCTGCTCCCCCTCTCCTCCTCTCCCCCGCCCTTCCCCCTCCCTTCCTCGTCTTCGCTTCCCCTCCCCCTGCTCCCCTCCCCTCCCCCGCCCTTCCCCCCTCCTTCCTCCTCGTCCCTTCTGCTCCTCCTTCCCTCCTCCCCCCCCCCCCTCCTCAAAATCAGGTGGAGATTCTGAGTCAGATACAGCATCCGCATGTGCTCATGCTGCTGGGGTGCGTTGGTTGGTGCATGCGTTTTGTTTTGTGTCCCCTTACGTGCATGCCCCTCGTCCTCTTATCCTCCTCCTCCTCCTCCCTTCCCCTCTTCCCCCCTCCCCTCCCCTCCCCTCCTCTCCCCTCCCCTCCCCTCCCCTCCCCTCCCCTCCCCTCCCCTCCCCTCCCCTCCCCTCCCCTCCCCTCCCCTCCCCTCCCCTCCCCTCCCCTCCCCTCCCCTCCCCTCCCCTCCCCCACAATCAGGTGGAGATTCTGAGTCAGATACAGCATCCGCACGTGCTGATGCTGCTGGGGTGCTGTCCCGATCGCTACGTGCTTGTCTACGAGTACCTCGCCAACGGCTCTCTGGAGGACCGCCTCCTGCGCCTCCACTCCACGCCCCCCCTCCCCTGGTTCGTCCGCATACGCATTGCCGCCGAAATCGCCTCCTCCCTCCTCATCCTGCACACCCGCCCCGTGCCCATCGTGCACCGCGACTTAAAGCCCGGGAACATTCTGCTGGATAAGAATTTCGTCGCGAAGTTAGGGGATGTGGGGTTGGCTAAGCTTATGCCGGGGCTGTCTATGGAGAAGACGTGCGACCGCGAGTCGACCCCGGTGGGGACGTTCGCATACGTCGACCCGGAGTTCCAGAGAACCGGGGAATTCGGCCCGAAATCCGACGTGTACGCGTTCGGCATCGTCCTACTCGACCTCCTCACAGGCCGCACACCCGCTCTGTACGAAGCCTTGGAAATCGCAGTGGAGAGTAACCGGAACGACGAGCTGATGCGGTTCCTGGATGCGGGAGCCGGCACGTGGCCGCAGGGCATGGCAATGGAGATAGCCAAGCTGGCGATTCAGTGCAGCGAGATGAAGAGGCGCAAGCGGCCGGACCTTGAGACGGAGGTGATGCCGATTCTGGACAGGATGCGGAGCGTGGCGATCAAGGCGGAGGAGGATGCGAAGAAGGCGTCGCTGGTCCGGCCCGTGGCTGCTGCTCCTCCCTGCCTCTTCTGCCCCATCACTCAGGTGCAGTGCCCCTCGCTGCAATCACTCAGGTGCAGTGCCCCCCGCTGCAATCACACAGGTGCAGTGCCCCTCGCTGCAATCACACAGGTGCAGTGCCCCTCGCTGCAATCACACAGGTGCAGTGCCCCTCGCTGCAATCACACAGGTGCAGTGCCCCTCGCTGCAATCACACAGGTGCAGTGCCCCTCGCTGCAATCACTCAGGTGCAGTGCCCCTCGCTGCAATCACTCAGGTGCAGTGCCCCTCGCTGCAATCACTCAGGTGCAGTGCCCCTCGCTGCAATCACTCAGGTGCAGTGCCCCTCGCTGCAATCACTCTTCTGCCCTGCACTCACCTCTCCCGCACTCACCTGCCCTGCACTCACCTGCCCTGCACTCACCTGCCCGGCACTCACCTGCCCGGCACTCACCTGCCCGGCACTCACCTGCCCGGCACTCACCTGCCCTGCACTCACCTGCCTGGCACTCACCTGCCGTGGCAAGGGTGTGCAACTTGTCGCTTGTGCTTCCCACTTTGCCTTCAACCCCTCCCCAGCAGGAGCTGATGCAGAACCCAGTGATAGCAGCGGATGGGCCCACATACAACATGGTGTTGTTCTGCATTCACCTGCTCCCGTTTTTTTCCTCTCTCTCCACCCAGGAGCTGATGGTGAATCCGGTGATAGCAGCGGACGGGCACATGTACGAGCTGGTGATGCTCTGCATCCGTCTGCTCCCTTTTGATTACCCTGCTTTTCCTTAACCCCCAAACCCCCCCTCCCCCAATTACAGGAGCTGATGGTGAATCCAGTGATAGCAGCAGACGGCCACACTTACGAGCTGGTGGCGATACAGCAGTGGCTGGAGAAGAGCGATCGCTCGCCCATGACCAACGTGCGCCTGCCCTCCAAGGCCCTCGTGCCCAACCGCGCTCTCAAATCCATGATCCTCGACTGGCGCGAGACGGGAGGGTCGGGGTAACGACTTCTGGTTCATGGTTGAAGAATTTCCGAGTCCATAATGACTCCTGAGAGGAGCTGTCAAATCCATGATCCTCAACTGGCGCCAGCACGGCGGGTCGGGGTAACCACTCTTCGTCTCTGTCCATGTTTGAACCGTTCTTGAGCCTTCTCAGAGATGACCTTTATCTGGGGGGCACAGGGCCTGATCAATGATGGCTTTCTTTGGCGCCTCCAGTGCCTGTCTGGGCCCTCCAATCCATTCATCCATATCCTTCGATCATCCCATTCATGGTTGGGTCTCAGTCTCATGCTCAACCGGGCAGCTGGATTCACTGTCACTGCAAGACGGCATGGCTGTTGGAAAGTCGAGCACAGCATTTCTTAGCTGCAGGTGTGGGGGTTTGTTGCCATTGGAGTGAGCAACATTGTGCCATGACAGGCTGCTTGTTTTTAGCTGTGTAGAGAAGGGGATGTCCTTATGATTGCAATAGCTTACTGTTGCTTTGTCTTGCAATCGTGTGCTTGGTCAAAGCTCTCCCATGCTAGGTAGGTGTCTACTGCCACCACGTTGTGCCCTAGGCCCAAAGCTTCATGTTGGATCTTGATACTACAGCGTTTTTCCTGTTGTGATGTGCTCTGCATCAGGAGCACACTCACCGCGTCAGGTGCAATTTTATTGTTGGGGAGAAGCCTATACAGGATATGTATTTTGGAGGGTCGATGCGTGAGCCTCGACGTCGTCTACGTCAGGTGAATTGTGTACAGTTTGCTGACTGTATAAAAACAGTCTGCTCGGTGTGTTTTGCCCTTTCTGACCTCACTGGCTCGATTACATTTTGACAGGTTATCAAGCAGGTGTCGCGTTCTTTCTGCGATTTAGCGAGGTGACAAGGCCGAATCAAAAGTAATCTCCAGAAAATCACACACAGAAGATTACGGAATGAAATACCTCAGCGGACAAGCGAGTCCGCCCGTGCCGTGCTGCTTTCAACATTTGCTCTTGATGTAAATCGATCGAACGGCGATCGATCCACCTTGCCAACGCAAAATTCCCCACGAGGGATGGATGCAACGACACGTTGGCGAAACTGTTGAGCCACATCTCTCTCAAGGTCCAAAACCCAGGGCACGCCCAAACACCGAGGTTAGGTTGGGCTGCCTCTGCGCTGGCGGGCAACAGCAACCCCGCTGCTTCAATCCAACAACATCAAGGTGGATGTTCGAATTTCCAAATCAGCGCTTGTTCCAACTTGGCGCAACGAATCTTCAGGTGGACTGATTTGCTTATGAGGCAAATAACTCGTATCTCGATTCTGCCTCACACTCACATCACCTCCCCACCACCACCGCCTTTGCACCTCGAATTCTCCGTGTTGGTTTTGTTCTCTCCTCCACACACACCCCCCTCACGCACGCCGCTGGCCGCGGCGATTCTCGGCTTCCTCCCTTCCTGTCCTTTCGAGCGGCTACTTAGCCATGGCATTGCGGCGGTTGATTTATTACCAAGAAAGCAGGAGTTTCAGCATAGTGCGGTGCGAACGAACGTCTTATCAAGAAGCTTGGCGTGATTCACTATTTGAAAGGTTCTTTCGTATTTCAGGGCATTATGCGGACGAGAACCGGCGGGTATCAAAGTGCTGCAGACGGTATTACTTTCCACATACGTCACATACCTTCCAAGCGAGCGTACTCGACGCGAATGTCGCTAAAGGCTTCAGGCTCTTCAGCTCACAAACGGCTCGCGGCTTCGGCCGTGGATAACCTTCCCGTACGTGCATTCTCTGAGGCCGTGAACTTGCGTGGTTTTTTTTCTTAGAACCTTTAACACTTCCCGTGGGATTCTGTGGAAGATTATGACCGAAGTGTTTTTATCGAATTGCAGGATGAGATTCTCACATGCATACTGGAGAAGGTGGTAGCTTGCGCCAACTCTTCCGCTGACGTCGTCAACGTCCTCCTCACGTAAGGAACCATTCCAAAACTTAACGTCCCGAGCTGTAAAGCTTCTTCCTTTCAACCGCTTACCTTTCAAAACAGCCAGGCAAGCGACTCACGTTGTTATTTCTGCTCTGTTGGCCCTTCAGGTCCCGTCGCATGTGCGAGCTCGGCACTCAGGCTCAAGTGCTCCGCAAAGTGTCGCCTCTTGCGCTCGCAATGCAGGCACGGTCCCTGACCGAAGGGTCGCACAGGTTCTTGCACAAGTGTGCGACTTCTGGCAACACAGACGCCTGCTACATTCTCGGCATGGTAAGCCTCCTAGATCCCACGACCTCGCGCAAGATTATCACGGTTCCGCCTCTTCCCACCCCTCCCCCTGTTTCTCCCCTCAATCGCTCCACAATTTTGTTAATTTGACGGTATAGTTCTTGCGCGTAACACTCACACCGGTCATCCTCTCCCTTGCCTTGCCACAGATCAAGTTCTACTGCCTCGGGGATCACCAGCACGGAGCCACGCTATTGGCCAAGGCGGCTCTCGCGGCGCACCCGCACGCGCTGCACTCGCTCGCCGTCATCCACTTCAACGGCAGCGGCGGCACGCGCCACGACCGCGACCTCGTGGCGGGGGTTCTGCTCTGCGCGCGCGCCGCGGCCGCGGGACACGTGGAGGCGCTTCGGGAACTGGGGCACTGCCTACAGGACGGGTACGGCGTGCAGCGGGACGTTCCCGAGGGCCGCCGGATGCTGCAGGAGGCGAACGTTCGCGAGGCGGCGCGCGCGCTTGCCTGCTCCGTGGCGGTGCCTCGGTGTGTTGCTCCGCTAGTATTAGCCCCGCGGGGCGCTGCGTCGCAATGCGGGACGAGCGGGACGTCTAATTGCAGTGACGTGCAAGCTTCTCCCGCCGCTCTTCCAGTGGCTTCAGCTGGCACTGGCTCTTTCGGTTCAAATGAAAACTGTGCACTGGGTGCGCAAGAGGGTAGCACGAAGGGCGAGGTGCACGCGTCAAGACCTCGTGTGCTGATGCGTGCTGCTGCGATTCCAAGCACGTTTGCACGCGAGCACGCGTGTAGCACGGGTTCCTGGAGCCAAGGTTGGACCAATGACGCACCTGGCGTGTCTGGCGCATCGCTCCAAGGGGAGGTTGTACCCCACCGTGCCTCCTCGGGTTCGAGAGTCGACTTGAGCGTGCTGCAGAACCTTCAAAGCGGCGAGAACGTGGCGAGAGGAAGCGAAACGCACGCAGAACCACCAGTTAGATCCGAGGGTGATGGGCAGTTTCCTCTGCAGCAGTCTGGGTTGCAGCAGCCGCAGAACCACCAGTTAGATCGCCAGTCCCAGCACGCGCATCATTCTAGAATCCAGCACTCAGAAGCACAAGTACTTGGACGCGGTACCCAAGCCCCTGTTGGTGCAGATGCAAGTGAAACTTTGCCCCACGCAGAGAGGCCTCCCGTGGCCATGTGCACGGGGTCTAGCGGTCCCCACCGCTGCTGCTGCCTGCCACATGTCACCCTGCCGCCCTCCTGGTGGCATGTTGCTGTGCATAAGTTCCTGGTGGACTGGCATGCGCTCGTGCCGCTCCCTGAGGGATTCAGAGTGTGCTGCAATGAGCTGTGCGGGCGATCGGAGACAAGGAAGCAGGAGTTCCGGTGCTGCTCTGCGTGCGGGGAGGCTAAGTATTGCAGCCGCGTGTGCCAGGCGGTTGACTGGAAGGCCCGGCATAAGGTGGTGTGCCCGCTTATTGCTGCTAGGGTGCAGCAGGAGCAGGAAGTAGCGGCACGTGTGGATTTGCTGAGACAGCAGGCACAGGGCCAGCAGGAAGAGGATCGGCATCGGTCTCTGCAGCATCTTTACCAGGTGCAATCGGATCAGCAGCAGCGACAGGATTTCCATCAGCAGCAGCAGCAGCAGCAGCAGCACCAGGTGTTGCAGCAAGTGGATAATGGTCAGGGTGACCAGCAGGGAGTACATTAGTGGAAGACGACGGTTCAGACGTCAGCCCTGTTTTTGAAGCTGCTCATGTGACCGACTGCCTTGCATTGCGCCTGTACGACTGCCTTGCATCGCTCCTGTATGACTGCCTTGCATCGCTCCTGTATGACTGCCTTGCATCGCTCCTGTATGACTGCAACCTGTATTCAATTTTATTATTATTCAACTTATCAATACCAGGAACTGAATCAACATCAGCTGTAGGTGGTGCAGAGTAGTGTCCAGGGTGATCATTCGGAGGTACCGGCACATCAGTGTAGGAGTAAAGATTTCAGCCCTGTTCTTGAAACTGTTCATGTGCTGGACTGCCTTACATCTGTACGGCTCCAACTTGTGTCCAGTATTGTATTATTTATTAATTTTGATGTGAAAAGACCAGGGGAGAGTAGCAGCAGAGTGGACAAGGAGACAAACTCGTTGAACCTTTCAGAGATTTTTATCGGAAAAATAGGCCGATCACGGTGGGACTCGAACCCACAATCTCCCGCTCCGGAGGCGAGCGCCTTATCCATTAGGCCACGCGACCTGCAAATATTTCGGCGTTTTATTATCAGGCTGCATTTTTTTGTCCGTCATCCTGCAGGCTAGTTCACCTCCATTTTTTACGTCTCATGTGGACATGGTGTCTGATAATTCATACCACCTTTTCCCTAATTATCAGCAAAAACACCAAAATTCAGGAGTGAAAGGTATTAGAAAAAAGAACACAAGAGTGTTAGTAGGCTAGCATGGCTAGTGAAACAGAAGCTAGTGAGCGTGCCATCACTCGCCGCCCACGAGTGGTTGGAGGCTGGTGTCAGGATGTAGGTGGAGGAACGGATGATTCTGATTGGTCATGGGGAGGAGGTTGGAGGGGAGGGACAGACAGCAGCAGGGAGAAGGGGAGAGGAAATTTGAAGGCCAGGCTAAGTACAGTAAACCAGGAGATGTTGAAGAAAAAAAAAACACTTGAATCGGGTATAGGAAAGTCGGACGTATATGCAGGCGCCATGCTATGTAACCAGCCACCCATGTCGCATGCCACATGCCACCTAAAACACACAGCCCATGCCACAGCATGGCATGGCATGGCAGATGGCACGGTGGACTCACAAGAAGCTGCTCCGCTGATGGCCGCTGGCTGGGTTCCTTCTGAAGACTGCAGGGGGAGGAGGAGTGGAGGATGGGAGTGGGGAGGAGGGAAGGGAGATCAAGAATGGGGACGGGGGGCCGGAAGAGTGGAATGCAGGAGTCACAAGAAGCTGCTCCGCTGATGGCCCCTGGCTGGGGTCCTTCTGAAGACTGCAGGGGGAGGATGGGATAGAGGGGGTGGAGTGAGAGTAAGATAAAGGGGGTGAGTTGAGAATCGGACGAAGGGGGGTGAAGCGAGCATTGAATAAAGAGGGCTGAAGTGAGAATAAACTGTTACGGTGGACTGAGAATGGCGAGGTGATTTCAACATGGCCCAGCATAAGGGAGCGCAACACACTTGCAAAAGTGCGGCGAGAAGGGAAACAGGTAGGTTGACGGGAGCGCACACGAGTGCACATGGCCGCACACGAGTGCACATGGCTGCACACGAGTGCACGTGGCCGCACACGAGTGCACGTGGCCGCACACGAGTGCACATGGCCGCACACGAGTGCACGTGGCTGCACACGAGTGCACGTGGCCGCACACGAGTGCACGTGGCCGCACTGACACAGAACACACGAACTGCACGGCACACCCACTAGAGCGCGCACGAATTCGCAGAACTGCGGCGCAGCAATGGGAGCCGGCGAGTTGGAAAAATTCCGAGAGCAGATCGAAATAGCTGAAGGCGCCTCCTCAGAATGGCAGAACACCCACCCACCCACCCACCCACCCACACACCCATTTCCCCACCCATCCCCCCACCCATTTCCCCACCCATCCCCCCACCACAGCACCAGCAGCAGAACCCACACCAGATTGCACTACACCGCACTGCATCCACCGCCCACCCACCTGCCGGAAAGCACACCACCCAACCCACCAGAGCGCCACGAATTCGCAGAACTGCGGCGAGAAGTAGTCCGGCGGAGCAATGGGAGCCGGCGAGTTGGAAATCTCCGAGAGCAGATCGAAATAGTTGAAGGAGCCTCCAGAGGCGGGGCGGTAGGGGTACTGCCCTATGGCACACTCCAGCAGGCTCAGCCCGAACGCCCACACGTCACTGTTGTGCGAATAGGTCCTGCCCATTATGCGCTCCGGCTGGTTAAGGTGAGGGAAAGGGGGGGAAACGGAGGGGATGGGAATGAGAAGAGGAGGGTGTGACTAGCACCACGCACCCACACGTCGCTGTTGTGCGAATAGGTCCTGCCCATTATGAGCTCCGGCTGATGGGGCAGGGGGGAGGGAACGGGAGGAGCGGAGAGGGAAATGATAGCACACTCGATGGCACATTCGATGGCACACTCGATGGCACACTCGATGGCACACTCGATGGCACACTCGAGCAGGCTCAGCCAAAAAAGCGCCACACGTCGCTGTTGTGCGAGGGATTATGGGGAGGGAGGGGTGGGAATCATGTACATTGGTGATCAGGAGCAGGCATCTGGATTGCAGGGCGTTTACCCTGTATAGCCTGTTTACCCTGTATAGCCTGCTTACCCTGTTTACCCTGTTTACCCTGTTTTTTCAGAGTGAGATCGGACACCACAGTGCTAAAACAGCATTCGTCACATGTACCACCCTGCCCACCCTGCCCCTGCCCCTGCCCCTGCCCCTGCCCCTGCCTCACAACAACGCACCGACATGTAAGTGTAAGTCCCAGCAAACGTGTTCCCGACATCGTAGCTGTTCTCGAGCACGAGGCTGACGCACAACTCACCGACATGTAAGTGTAAGTCCCTGCAAACGTGTTCCCAACGTCATAACTATTCTCGAGCACGCGGCTGACGCCAAAGTCGCTGATCTTCAAACACCCCGACTGGTTGAGAAGCATGTTGCTGGGCTTGATGTCGCGGTGGATGATGCGGTGGCCCTGGTACAGGTCGCGCAGGCCCTGCAAGGCCTGGCGGGAGATGGCTGCGAGGTACGGCTCCGTGATTCGCCCCACCGCCTGCAGCACGTCCGCTAGCGACCCCGCGTCCATGTACTCGAGGACTATGAAGAGATGCCCGTCGTCCACGAAGGCCTGGATAGGGGTGGTGAGCGGTGGAGAGGGTTTTGCAACAATCAAAGGTCGGCCAGCGACCCCGCGTCCATGTATTCGAGGACTATAAAGAGATGCCCGTCGTCCACGAATGCCTGCCAGAAGGGGGTTCAGAGTGGTGGAGAGTGGTTGAGGGAGTGAGAGGGTGCTGAGAGGTTGCTGAGAAGGGCATCGGCCAGCAACCCCGCGTCCATGTACTCGAGGACTATAAAGAGATGCCCGTCGTCCACAAAGGCCTGGATAGGAGGGGTTCAGAGTGGTGGAGAGTGGTTGAGGGAGTGAGAGGGTGCTGAGAGGTTGCTGAGAAGGGCATCGGCCAGCAACCCCGCGTCCATGTACTCGAGGACTATAAAGAGATGCCCGTCGTCCACAAAGGCCTGGATAGGAGGGGTTCAGAGTGGTGGAGAGTGGTTGAGGGAGTGAGAGGGTGCTGAGAGGTTGCTGAGAAGGGCATCGGCCAGCAACCCCGCGTCCATGTACTCGAGGACTATAAAGAGATGCCCGTCGTCCACAAAGGCCTGGATAGGAGGGGTTCAGAGTGGTGGAGCGGGGTTGAGGGGATGGGAGGGTGGGCTTGGTGATTCCACCCACTAGCTGCAGCACGTTTGGCTAGCGACCCCGCGTCCATGCACTCCAGCACGATAAAGAGGTGCCTGTCGCCCACCAAGGCCTGGAGAGGGGCCAGAGGGGGTGCAGAGTGGTGGGGAAGTTAAGAGGGTGCTGGGAGGGTGCTGGGGAGGTGCTGCTAGCGACCCCGCGTCCATGCACTCCAGCACAATAAAGAGGTGCCTGTCGCCCACCAAGGCCTGGATAGAGGTGGTGCGCAGAGGTGCAGAGAGGTGGAGAGGTTTCTGAGATGGCTCAAAACGACTAGTTGGCCACACAGCATCGCATAGCACCGCACAGCACAGCACACCCCAGCATACCTGGTAGCAGCGGACGACATGGGGCGAGCGGCACTGGTGGTTGATCCTGAGTTCGTTCCCCACGTGCTTCTGCACGTCAGCATCCATGTTCAACTGCATGTCCTTGAGTGCGTACTGCTGCCCCGTGCGCGCATGCTGTACCAGATACACTGCTGCACTCGCCCCCCGCCCCAACAGCTCCACCTTTCTCAGATCCGCCAGCCGCAGTGAGTTGTCCTGCTGTGACGGGACGGAGGGGGGTGAGGGGGGTGAGGGGGGTGAGGGGAGGGTTGGGTTGGAGTGGGGGGGGTTGTCTTGGGGCTAAGGGAAAGGGGACAGGGAAGGCACATGCTGCACCAGGTACAGTGCCGCGTGAAAGAAGTGTTTTTGAGACGTCTCAAAAACATGCTGCACCAGGTACAGTGCCGCGTGAAAGAAGTGTTTTTGAGACGTCTCAAAAACATGCTGCACCAGGTACAGTGCCGCGTGAAAGAAGTGTTTTTGAGACGTCTCAAAAACATGCTGCACCAGGTACAGTGCCGCGTGAAAGAAGTGTTTTTGAGACGTCTCAAAAACATGCTGCACCAGGTACAGTGCCGCGTGAAAGAAGTGTTTTTGAGACGTCTCAAAAACATGCTGCACCAGGTACAGTGCCGCGCTCGCCCCCCGACCCAGCAGCTCCATGTTTCTCAGATTCGCCAGGCCAGGCGCATGAAATTGGCCTCCTGTGAGGGGATGGAGGGGTGCGTGGAGGGGAAAATGGGATATGGGAGGGTGCGTCGTGGTGCTGTGAGGGGTGGGTTGGGAAGTAGGTGGAAAAAGGGAGCAAAGGTGAAGGTGAAGGGGAAGGGGAAGGGGAAGGGGAAGGGGAAGGGGAAGGGGAAGGGGAAGGGGACGGGGACGGGGAACGGGTAGGGGAAGGGGAAGGGGAAGGGGAAGGGGTCGTGGTGAAATCGGTGCATGTGGCAAGTGGAGGGAGGATTGGGGGGTAAGGAACCTACCTGGAAGGATCCAATGTCTAGCAGTGCTTCCACGCATCTGTGCGTTGGTAATCCGAACCTGTGCCTTGGTAATCCGAACCTGTGCCTTGGTACTCCAAACCTGTGGTCCTGTGGCAATCCAGTGCTCACCTGCTGCTGCTGATCGGGCACTCTGAGGCCCCCTCTCCCCACGGCCACGTGCCCGAAGTTGGCCGTGCCACTGTCCGTGCTGGTGGGCGCAACGTGGAAGGACAGGCGGAGGGGGAGGCGGAGGAAGGGGAAACGTGGAGAGGGAAAGAGACGAATTTTGAGACGCCTCAAGAGAGCAGTGTGATCCCGCCTCTCCCGACGAGACGAGGGCAGACAAGCGGGGAAGGCAGATAAAGGGGGAAGGTACATGAGGGAGGGAGAGGGGATTGGAAGGAAGAGAAAGGGGGAAGGCAGATGGGGAGACAGGCAGAGGAGTGGAGGAGTGGGAGGGAGGGAAGGTGGGAAGGCATTGCATGAGGCTGCGTGCATGAGAGAAAAACGGCAGCGGCAAAGGCGGGAAAGTCAGCGAAGGGTGGGGGGAGAAGGAGTGGCGCGGGGAGAGAGGGGCGCGGGGGAGCTCACAGGAAGTTGAGGTTGCTGTCTTCCGCGGTCTGCGGGAAACGCGCGCGCGAGGCGGGGGAGCGGATGCGGGGAGGAAGGGGAGAACAATGGCGCGGGTAAGACACGGAGACACGGGCCGGGGGCAACGGATACGGCAGCAACACGTAGCAACAGGCAGGCAGAAGGCAGCAACAGGCAGACAACAGGCAGCAGCGGCTGAGGACAGCAAGCACGGCGCGCAGCGGTGGCGAGCTAGCATTGGCGCGCTACGCGGTGCGGAACTCACTCTGCCTGGTAGCTGAATGCCGAAGCCCGGCACGTCCAGCATCGGCGGGAAGTCTTCGTCCATATCTGCTTATTATTAATGAAACGAGGCCTAGTCTGTGCTTCTGAAATGCCACTTGATTATTAGGTCGCTTTTCGCTTCTGGAAAACTTGGGTCAGAATATGTTTTTGTTTCCAGATACCGTAGGTCGCGTGGCCTAATGGATAAGGCGCTCGCCTCCGGAGCGGGAGATTGTGGGTTCGAGTCCCACCGTGATCGCAAGTTTTGTTTGTTGGCGTGTATCTCATTCACCAAGCTTAGCTGCTTGTGTCAATGCGATCGTAGGAGAAAGAGACTACTTGTGATGCTTGCGGAGGTGCTGTTGCTGCATTGGTCATTACAGATGGCCCTACCTCTTCCAAGACACACATTTACATACGTCATGCATGCACCCTCCACATATCAATCACCGCACAGCATCTATCACCCCCCCCCAACTCCTCCCCTCCACTGCCTGTCCTGCTGGCACCACACTCCCCCCTCCTTTCTCCTCCACAACTGCACTCCCTTCCCTTCTGCAACAATCCTCCCTTCATGTTCCCTTTTAGCAGCAATCCCCCATCTCTTCTCCATCTGCGTGTACGGAACATACATCACCACCACATGCCCACGCGTATGTTCAGACATTCCAGCGAGCAGCAGTTTCTAAGGAGAAGGTTTCGCAAAGGAGAAAACAGTTTTAGTACAATCCTAGCTGATTCGCGTAGGGTTCTGTAAAGTCGGAGCTCTTCACTAAGCAATGGCTAAAACATGGACGAACATGTTTCGGCTGTAGGGAAGCCCCCAGCAAGCCTTCATCAGTGCCAAATGAAAGAATGTGAGCGAGGCCTAGCCTTCTAAAGCAAAGCAAGAAAGGCTAACCACCGAAATGTACAAATCCCTAGGCTATCTTCACCCTGGTCAACCCAAAAAGGTGGGGACCAATCCAGGCTGCCCTGGTACTTCCAAGGAGCCACGTCTTCATTCCTCGACAGTGTCTTCGTGAGTAACAGGGCCTGCATCTTCGCCACTTCGCAAACTCGAGAGTCGCGCGCGCACCAGTAGCCTTGATAAGCTACACCCCATTTTCCAAGCAACAAAAATCCTATCTACATACAATCCGCGTGAGAGAAGTCTAGTTTTGAGGCGCCTCAAAACGTGCACGGAACATACATCACCACCACATGCCCACGCCCATGTGCACTCGCACTCTCAAGGGAGAGTTTCAGCACCTGTCTATCCTCCCGTTCGTCCCCCACTGCCTATGCTGTCCACCTTTTCCCCCTCTGCTTCCACTACACCCCCGCTGCTCTCCTCCCCACAACTTGTCTCTCCGTTCCCCTTTCAGAAGCCCTCCCCCCTCCCCCCTCTCGCTGCGTGTACGGCACACACATCACCACCACGTGCATGCGCCCGTGTGTGCTCGCACTCTCACGGGAGGGTTTGGCCACCTCTCTAACCTCCTGCTCTTCCCCCATCCCCTATGCTGTCCGGCCTTTTCTGTTCTGCTTCCACCTCACTCCTTCTCTCCTCCCCAACTGCACTAACTTCTCCCTCCTTCCCCTCTGCAGCACTCTCCCCTCCCCCCTCTCGCTGCGTGTACGGCACAAACATCACCACCACATGCACGCGCCCGTGTGTGCTCGCACTCTCAGGAGTCTCGGGCTTATCGTACAGGTCGAGCCACAGGTCTTGTGCCTTGTTGGGGTGCAGCTGTGATGGAAAGGGAGAGAAGGGGAAAGAAAGGGGAGCTGTGGGACTCGAAGGGCGAAACGAGAGAGGAATGAAGGAAAGGGACACGAGTCCCATCTTGTTTTACAGGTGTAGACATGAGGGACGTGAAGAATGGGAAGAGAGGAATTGCAACTGATATGAAGAGGGAAGTGGGAGAGTAGGGGGAAAAAAGGGGGGCTGATTTCGTTACGAGGATGTGAGCGGCATTCTTGACGGAACGGCAGTGTGCATGTGAGCAGAGAATTCTCATGAGTGAATTTAACAACAGGTGGGCGTACCGTGTGGAGCGGCACCATGTGCGCTCGTACCGTGTGGAGCGGCACCATGTGCGCTCCTATGAACTCCGACTTCTCAAACCGCTCGCTGTCCATCAGCCTGATCGTCAGCTGCTGTGAGTCCGGATCCTCCACCTGTGCCAGGGGGGGGAGGGGCGAAGCATGGTAGAGGGAGTGAGGCGCGGAGCAAGAAGGATGGAAAGAGGGAGTGAAGGGGATCAGCAAGCAGTCAAATGGTCAGCACCTGCTCGCATGGTGGTGGGGGAGAGGGAGAAAGCGTGAGAAGTCGGTTGTAAGGGGCAGCAGGATAGAGCAGAGCAACAGGGACATACAGTGGGTATGTGGGGAACATCTGCAGTGCAGGGTGATGCACGGGGCATGCATGGTGCATGCCAGCAGAGGCATGCAGCGCAGCAGAGGCATGCAGCGCAGCAGAGGCATGCAGGGCAGGGGCTCGTCGTTCGACCATTACTGCGAGCTCTGAGAAGTCTCAGAACTCGCAAGAACTGCACCGCGCGATAATGTTTCATTCTGAAAGAATAGTGCAGTAATGGAGGCTACTGCACCGCGCGGTGCTTTCAGTTTCCAATATTGATACTACACCACCGCACGCACCCCTCTTCATTTGAACGATGAACGCCCACTTCAAATCACTGCCTTGTTGCTCCTTCCTCTTCTTACATCAGGAACGAATCCCCCTCACCTCAAGAATAAACCCTTCGTTCCACGTGGGGTGGCGGGAGTGGTGCACGGTGCTGCTGCGCTTGATAATGCCCTCCCGCTGCCGCACGTACAGCAGCACAGTGAGGTGCTTCAATTCACCGCCTTGTCACTCCCACCCCACCCCCCCCCTCACCTCAAGTATAAACCCCTCATTCCACGTGGGGTGGCGGGAGTGGTGAACGGTGCTGCTGCGCTTGATGGCCCCCTCCCGCTGCCGCACATACAGCAGCACGAACGGGTCAGCAGCGCCTGTCAGCACGTCTGTCTTGGGCAACCCCTCCGCCTCTATCAGCGACACGTCTAGGTACCCCACTGGGGTGAGCTCGAGGAAACTGGAGGAAGGGGGACAGGCGGGCATGAAGGAGGCGGCACCCAGGCAAATGAGACTGCAGCACTGGTCAGCACGCCCGTCTTTGGAAGCCCCTCCGCCTCTATCAGCGACACGTCTAGCTACCCCACTGGTGTGAGCTCCAGGAAACTGCGGGTGTGCGGGGAAGTGGGGAATGGGGGGGAACGAGTGGAGAGGGGGCATCCAAAGGGATGTGTGTGTGACGCGAACGGATCAGCACGTCCGTCTTGGGCAGATCCTCCGCCTGTTGCAGGTTGTGTTTGAGAGTTCTCAAAAACAACCTGCAACATCTTGGGCAGATCCTCCGCCTCGATCAGTGACACGTCTAGGTACCCCACTGGGGTGAGGTCGAGGAAACGACAGAAGCAAGGGGGGAGAAGACAAGAGAGGAGAGCTGGGGGAACCAAGGGGATGTGTGTGTGATGCAGGGAGGGCATGCAGCCCTGTCAGCACGTCCGTCTTGGGCAGATCCTCCGCCTCGATCAGTGATACGTCTAGGTACCCATTGGGGTGAGCTCCAGGAAACTGGAGGTGTTGGTGAAAAGAACATAAGGCGGGGGATGCGGGTGAAAAGGAGGGGGAGGTTTGGAGTAATATCGGGTCAGCAGCTCTTGTCAGCACGTTTGTCTTGGGGAGCCCCTCCGCCTCTATCTGTGAAACGTCTAGGTACCCCACTGGGATGAGCTCCAGGAAACTGGAAGAGTTGTAGGTTAAGGTGGAGATGAAGGGGCGGCGCAAGGAGATTTACTCTGAACTTAGCCTCTGTAACAGGGCATTAACTAAAGCTCCCCTCCACGACAGGGCATTACTTGAAGCCGATTTCCATGAGGCATAAACTGAAATCAACCTCCATTACAGGGTACTACCTAAAGTCACCCTTCATGACAGGGTACTACCTGAAGTCACCCTCCATAACAGGGCAGTACCTGAAGTCACCCTCCATGACAGGGTACTACCTGAAGTCACCCTCCACGACAGGGTACTACCTGAAGTCACCCTCCACGACAGGGTACACCCATCGCGAGGGCCACACAAGGGAATCGTCGATTGACAGGCGCAGCACCGTCTGTGCCCAGAGGGGTGGTGGTGAGGAAGGTGGGGGGCAGAACGGGGCGGGGAAGTTAGGGATGCAGGGAGATGTATGGGCGGGGGAGGAAAGGGAAGGGAGGGATGGGAATTTGGAAGGGATAGAGTGGGGTGGGGTGAGAGGGAGTGAGGTATGGTCAGGGTTGTGTGGCAAAGCATGGGACCATGGCCCTGGTGAAGCAGCACGCATTCAGGCTTTAAGAAATAATGGGCATCTGCGAATGAAGAGAGGATTACAATGTAGCATGTGAGAGGCGGTGAAGGAATGTGTGAGGCGACGAGGGCATGTGAGAGGTGATGAATGCATTTGAGAAGCGGTGAAGGCATATGGGAGGCGGTGAATGCACTTGAGAAGCGGTGAAAGGCATGTGAGAGGTGGTGAAGGCTTGTGGGAGCAAGAGCGCGCATGTCACCTCAATCATCTTTTCAAATCCCGGCATGGCCTTGAGATTACCTCCCATCACTGACACCTTGAAGTCAAAGAATGGCTGCCTCGGTAAGAGTGGGGGAAGGGCGAGCGGGCGGAGGGTGGAACGGAAAAGGGGATAGAGAATGGCAGAGTGGCTAAAAGAAGGGCTGCCAGCATGTAGCGAATGCAGTGAGAAGGCCCCACTTGGTTGGGCAGTGACAGCAGCACACTGAAATTGGCCTTTCAACTTCTGCTGCAAAACAGCTCCAACACAAAATGGTTGAGCAGCGACATCAGCATGTGTGAACAGGTTCTGGGAATTCCAGTATATATATAACATATATAAAATTACTATAATTATAAATAAAAAAAACAAAAACAGGTCACCTGGTTGAGCAAAGAGAGCAGCACGGCGCCGAACCCGGGTAAGCGGGGCAGCAGCGGTTTGAGGGTGAGTTTGAGGGTGGCAGCAGCAGCGATGCTGCTCACTCGCACGTCCACATCAGGGCTCATGGCTGTCTGCACTCTCAGCCCCATGCTGCGCTGCTGCACCCGCCCTTCCACCCACTCCACTGCCACCTCTGCTATCACCTCGTCTGCTACTCCTTCCTCTGCTACTCCTTCCCCTGCTACTCCTTCCCCTGCTACTCCTTCCTCTGCTATCACCTCGTCTGCTACTCCTTCCTCTGCTACTCCTTCCCCTGCTACTCCTTCCCCTGCTACTCCTTCCTCTGCTACTCCTCCTTCTGCTCCTCCTCCCCCCTCCCCCTCGCCTTCTCCCTCGCCCCCCTGCCCTTGCTCCTTCGCCTCTGCCCCCCCCCTCTTCTCCTCCCAGACTCCTTCCCCCTCTCCTTCTCCCTTCCCCTGCCCCTCCCCTTCCCCCTGCCCTTGCTCCTCCCTCTGCCCCATCCCCTCCCCCTGCCCCTTCCCCAACACCTGTGCCTCTGCACCACCACGAATCCGCCTTTCCGCCTGTTCCTTCGCCTCTGCCACTGTTACCACTCCTGCCTCCCCCTTTCCTCCGCCTCCCTCTCCACCCCCCTGTGCGGAGCCCTCTTCCTGTGCTGCTCTGCTGCGCTGCTTGTCTCTCTGCGCCTGCCCATTGTCCGGCCCTCGACTGTGCACCCGCACAGCTGAGGGCATTGGGAGGGGCGTTGGGAGGTAAGGACAATGGGCAAATCCTGCAAAAGAACCATGTCATATGTATACACACTGACACATACTACTCACCCACGCACCAGTAACGGTGAAGGGTTAGGTTCCCACACACTACACAGCACAGCACGCACCAGTGATGGTGGGTGCTGGGGAGGAAGAGGGGGGTAATAGTGTCACACACACCACACAGCACAGCGTGCACCGGTGATAGTGGGGGGATCGGGCCCCAGGTCAACAGACCGCACGTCAATTCCGGTGATGATGCTCAATTGGTACCCCTCAAACAGACCTCTCAGGCTGCTCTGCAGTATCTCCGTGCTTGCCCTGCGATGCAACATGAGCTTTGAGCTTACTCACCAGTGATGGTGGGGGGATCGGGTCCCAGGTCAACAGACCGCACGTCAATGCCGGTGATGGTGCCGAAGTGGTACCCCTCCAACAGCCCTCTCAGACTGCTCCTCAGCATGTCCGTGCTTGCCCTGCGCAGCTCTGGCCACATCTGCTGCACTGCCGCATTCACCCATGCCAGCTGCCACATGACATGAACCAATGCGATACAGGAAGCATGATGTAACAACACGCGTGTTTGCTGCCGGTGTGTGTTGTAGCTGCACGAAAAGGATCAGCCCCCTCAGGCTGCTCTCCGTGCTCGCCCTGCGCAGCTCTGGCCACATATACCGCACTGCTGCATTCACCCATGCCAACTGCCAAAAAGTCACTCCACTCACAGGCACCCAAGAACACATGAGTAATGAGCATTCCTGAATAGAATGGCCAGTAGTATGTTTTAGGCACCTAGAAAAATAAGTATGCACGGGAATATGCATAGGTAATGAGCGCCATCACGCGGAATTTCTCTCGACTCTAAACATTACCTGGAAGGTGTGCAGCTTCTGGCATGAGGATGTGCAATTCCCTTCGCTGAATCCGGCAAGTCGGAGAATCTTGTCCACTGACATTTCCCAGTCCATCCGCCGCAATACAAGGGCCTGCTCGTTGGAATTCGAAATGAAATTGCAGATTTACAATCATCCGCACCTGTGATGAAAGCCTCAAAGTGCAGTGACGACATATTTACACAGTTACACTTCATTTAGACAAAGAGCTAGACGTGCAACTTTAGTGTAGTTTTTCCCTCCCATCCCCAACATAATCCCGAACCACTCGCATTGTACCTTCCTTTCTCTCTGTCGCGCATTCCTCATTGCAAGCGAAGAGTACAGCAACGAGCACGCAATACCCAACACAAAGCCGTAGATCATCTTGACGCCCATTCCCAGCCGTCCGATCCACAGCCCTAGCGGCATCAGCACAAGCACCAGCACGGCAGCAAAACACACAGAAGCGACCTGCGCGCTCGCCAGGGCCGCGGGGAGCCGCCGGCGCGCCTCGCCGTGCAGCGCGGAGAGATGGGAGCGGAGAGAATCGCGCATGGCCTGATAGGACTCCATGCCGTCACGGTTGCCCGCTGAAGAAGAGTCTGGCTAGATAGTCTTCAGACGATAACGAGCTGCGCTGAATGTTTTCTTTTTGGGGTTCTCAGTAATCCCGCAGGGCTTGGTACTACTCCATGGTTCTAGCAGCAAACCTAGGTGAAGAGTCCAAGGAGCTGTGGTGGTAGACTGCGAAGAACGAACGGATGTGACGACCACCCCATAAACGAACGGACCGAGGTGAAGAGCGTAGCTGCCGGCTTGAAGGAGCGGTTTCATCCGACGATGAACGAGTGTGAGAGAGATGAGACGACATGCTTGCTGGCTATGTGTATCGATCGGCTGTGCGCTTGCGGCGCGGAAACACACACCGCACTTCTCTCCTCCAAGCCGCAGCTGGGTTTCAAGGGAACTATGGCGGAGTCGGGGAGGACAGGAAATGCCAATTGCGGTGGCGATCGCGACATTTCGAGGGGCTAATGCGCGGCTCGCGCTGCATGCCGCTGAGTGCGCTGACAACAACACGCGTCACATGCCACACTATCGAGTGGCTGGAACGACAACATTTTGAGAGGAGGAACTACACCTATTAACACAATATATTATCACTACCTAGGCTTCGTACTTATGCAGCAGCCTGCAATTTGCAGGCCAAAGGTACACCTTTTCAGGCAAGAACCACATCAAACGAGTATCCCTAACAATAACTCGGTCAAATCTCTCGAGAAGATTTACACCGTGAAGTGTAGTCGGGGTGCAAAGGGCTGTCACCTTCGATGCAGTGAGTTTGAAATAAAGAAATGGATGGTGGGCTTGGAATGGAAGGAAGAATGCATGGTGTGGTGTGGTGTGGTTCAGTGCCTCGCACCCGACTGCTGGGACAGGGAAGGTGATCCTGCAGCACGGAGGGACAGATGGCGGGAGTGAGACAGAGGCGAGCAAGGAGAAAGCAGGTTACGAAGTTGAGTGAAGAGAAAAAGCCGGTTTCCAAGAGGCGTTCAGGAGATGATTATCATGTGGTGAGACGTGTTTTCGTGCGGTTTAGCTGATGCACCTGATACAGACAGCAGCATGGCACGGCATACCTGACGCGGGTTGGTTATTGGCCGAGTGGCTGTTGCCTGAAGCTGACTGGGCCTGCTGGGAAGGCGGCATGGCTGCTGCTGCTGCCACTATGCTCTCAAGCCCACCATCCCACTGCCAGCGGGTGGGAGAGAGGAGCATGGGGGGCACGGGGGGGCATTTGAGTCGACTGAAAAGTCACATGGCAGCTGCTGCTGCCACTGCACTCTCAAGCCCACCATCCCACTGCACGAGGGTGGGTGGGAGAGAGGAGCATGGGGGGCACGAGAGGGGGGGGGGTTGAGAAGACTGAACAGTCAAATTGCTGCTTCTGCCACTATGCTCTCAAGCCCACCATCCCACTGCACAGTATGAGGAGCATGGGGGCCACGGGGGGGAGCTTTTGCGTCGACTCTTCAGTTGTGTTGTCTTTTTGGGTCGTCTTTTGAATGGACTCAAGAAATGGATGAGGGGAGTGGGGACATTTGAATCGAGTCATAAGTCACCTTGCTGCTGCTGCTGCTGCTGCTGCTGCTGCTGCTGCTGCTGCTGCTGCTAGTATTCTCTCAAGACAACCAGCCCACAGGCAGAGAGTGGGTGCAAGGAGCAGGGAGGCACGGGGGGAAGAGCAGGAGAGAATAAGGACCCGACTGAAAGCAGCGCCTACTGCATCGACTTCTAGCTTTCCATTTGGCTCTTCAAGGCCGGTGTGAGGGGGAGGGGGGTCGAGAAATGGAACAAGCTGGGCGATTCTGGGGAGGCGACTGAAAGCAGAGGTGCAAAGAGGGAAAAGACAAGGAAATGATGAGCAGAGAGCAGCGCAAGAGAACTCTGTGCTGCAGGACTCCAGTCACATGCAGGTAAACCTGTGCCATGGAGCCATTACAGGTGGAGCCATTCCAGGTGGAGCCATTCCAGGTGGAGCCATTCCAGGTGGAGCCTTTCCCCACCCACCGCACACCCCAACCTGCTCCATGCCCCACCTCTCACCTCACACTGCACGCCCCACCTCACCTCACAGTGCTTTTTTCAGTCAGCTCAAACACCCACCTCACACTGGATGCCCAACCTCACTTCACAGTGAATTTTCAGTCGACCTAAACACCCACTTCACACTGCACACCCATGTGTGGCAGGCCCCCCTCCCCCCCTCCCCCCCTCCCCCCCTCCCCCCCTCCCCCCCTCCCCCCCTCCCCCTCCCCCCGCACCTACCCCATTCATAACATCCAGCTGCGCCTGCAGCTGCTCCATTGTCAGCTCCCCCAGCCCCTCCCCCGCGCCTCCCCCCATTCCCCCTCCGCCTCCCCCCATTCCTCCTCCGCCTCCCCCCATTCCTCCCCCGCCTCCCCCCATTCCTCCCCCGCCATCTCCCCTCATCTCCTCCCCGCCAGCTGCTCCCCCTCCTGTTCCCGCCGCCCCCCCAGCGGCTCCCGCAAAGGGGAGGTTGGGCAGGTGGCGGGAGAGGAGGAGGCGGGCGAGGTCAGTGGGGAGGGAGGCCATGTCCGGGTGCAGGGCGGCCGCTGCTCCCAGTGACACTGATGCTGATGCTGATGGTGTGGCCATGGGCGATGCTGTGCTGTGATGGGCCGACTGGGAGACAGGAGTAAAAGAAAAGAGGGCGGAGAGTGGGGAGAGGGGTGAGAGGGTGGAGAGGGGTGAGAGGGTGGAGAGTGGTGAGAGGGTGGAGAGGGGTGAGAGGGTGGAGAGGGGTGAGAGGGTGGAGAGTGGTGAGAGGGTGGAGAGGGGTGAGAGGGTGGAGAGTGGTGAGAGGGTGGAGAGGGGTGAGAGGGTGGAGAGTGGTGAGAGGGTGGAGAGTGGTGAGAGGGTGGAGAGGGTTGGGGCGGCGGGATGGAAGAAGAGGGTGAGAGGATTGAAAGGGGAAAGGTGTCATGTAGATAGAGAATAACATGGGACCAGAAGGGAGTATTCAGCATGGTTTAGATCCGACATCAGCAATCGTGAGAGCTGACATCAGCAATTGTGAGAGCTGACATCAGCAATTGTGAGAGCCGACGTGAGCGGGCCGTAGCTTGACATCGAAGGTGTTACTGTTGACACTAGCAGGCTAAGAGCTCACATCAGTGGTCGACCAATTGAAGGTGGTTTCTGAGTCGACTGAAAAGGCGGTAGAGAGCTCACATCAGTGGTCGACCAATCGTGAGACTGGGAGCAGGACGGAGATGCCTGCCGGAACGATCCACCTGCAAGCGCAGCAGCAGCCACAGCAGCCGCACCAGCACTACCACCAGAACCACCAGAAACGCCAGCACCAGCCGAAGCACCAGCAGCAGTGGCACCGCCACCCATAGCAGTGGCATTTCCACCTCCACCTGTCCCCGTGCCAGCAGCAGCGGCAGCAGCAGCAGTAGCAGGGCCGGAGGGGACTAGCAGCCCTCCCAGTGCTGCCATCTGGGCTGCACAAAAGTCGGCGGGTGAATCTGAGCCGTCCATCTCTGCAGTGTCCTGCTCTATTGCTGCTAGCTTGGCGGATAGCAGCTGGGGGGGTTGACAGGGAGGGGGTAGGTTGGGGGAACGGAAAAGGAGGGAAGGACGCAGAAACGAGAAGGGAGAAAGAGAAAGGAAGCGGGGTGAGGTTGGCATGAGAGAGAAAGGGGTGGGGCTAGGGGAGAGAGGAGTGGAGGCGAGGTGGGGAGGAGAGGGGGGGAGGAGAGAACGAAGATTGCATAGGGTGGGGGAGTTGAGTGGGGGTTGGAGTGGGCAAGAAAGGTTGAACGCGAGATCCTTTGTGTGATGCAGGAGGGAGAAGTGCATCAGGAGGGAGGAGGGAGAAGTGCATCAGGAGGGAGGAGGGAGAAGTGCATCAGGAGGGAGGAGGGAGAAGTGCATCAGGAGGGAGGAGGGAGAAGTGCATCAGGAGGGAGGAGGGAGAAGTGCATCAGGAGGGAGGAGGGAGAAGTGCATCAGGAGGGAGGAGAAAGGATCTGAAGAGGACGGGAGAATGAGAATGGGGACCTCGAATTCGACCTGCAACTGCAGCGATTGTATGTATGCAGTTGCGTCAACACTCACGCTCTCATGATTGCTACGAGTTGCCTCTTACTCACTTCAACCTGCAGCTGCAGCGATCGCACATAGTTGATGATCTCATCCAGCATCACTGCTTTGCCTGTTGCCTGGTGCCATGCATACCACCATGCACACCACCACGCATGCCACCACGCACACCACCATGCACACCACCATGCATGTCACCATGCATACCACCACGCACACCACCATGCACACCACCATGCATGTCACCATGCATACCACCATGCATGCCACCATGCATACCACCATTCATACATCAATAGTAGGGGGATGGGCAAGAAACAAGAGGAGGCCTTTAGATGCTACTCCCACCCAGCACGAAGGCCTTGATGCCTGCCTGCCATGCTGCACCTAAGAATGACAGCCTTGCAAGGGACAGCCTAAAATTCACAGCCTTGCATGGCATATGTGATAGTGCATTGCAAGGTACAGGGGTGGAATGGAACAAAGAGCACGGTTTGGGGGAAGAGGAATAGGGGAAGTGCACACACCTTGGTGCAGGTGGGTACGAGGCTCTGCAGCACTTTCAATCAAGGGAGGACGGTGGAACAGAGAGCATGAGGGTGGAATAGAGAGCACGGGTTGGAGGAAGAGGAATAGGGGAGGTGCACACACCTTGGTGCAGGTGGGTACGAGGCTCTGCAGCACTTTCATTCGATCGCTGATCTTCTCTCGCCGCACCTGCGCAGCACCACAGTGTGTCATGGGTTCAGTCAGGGTAGCACAGCACGTCAAGAGGACACAGAGCAGCAGAGCGGTCAGCAGTTAACGAACAGGGCACAGCACACTGCGTTCACTCCATCCAATCACCCCAACCCGCCTTCTCAACCCAAACCGCCTACTCACCCCACAACCCCCCACTGTGCAAGGATGTGACTGCCAGTGGCCTGCCCTGCCCTTGCCCTGCGCAAAAGTAGACATAGCCCCCTCCAAATCGCCTCCACTCCCCCATCAACCCAACCCCTCAACGTTGTCACTCACAATACTGTCACGCCACTCACCCGCTCTGCAAGGCTGTGGCTGTCAGTGGCCTGTCCTCGCCTCGCCCGCATATGAATGTAGTCCTGGCTTGACGTCTCCATTGACCCCCCCCTGCATGCCCTCCCCAACGCCCTTCCAAGCCCCCTAAGTGCCATCACTCACCCTTTCCGCAAGACTGTGGCTGTCAGTGGCCTGTCCTCGCCTCGCCCGCATATGAATGTAGTCCTGGCTTGACGTCTCCATTGCCCCCCCTTGCATGCCCCCCCCCATCCCCCCGCCCTGCATGCTGTACCCGCCCCCCGGGTTCCCCCCCAACGCCCCCGCGCTTCCCCTCCCCCCGCTGCCCGCGCTCCCTGCGCCTCCCCCGCCCCCTCCGCGCGCCCCCAAACGCGTCCCGCTGTCCATCGCGTCCTCGAGCTCCCTCTGCGGGATAGGGCGCGGAGGGGACATGGGGGGAAGGGCGGAGGCACACGAGGAGGAGGGTTGAGGCAGTGGGTGGTGCGGAAGAGGGCAAAGCGGGGACAAGTGACGGAGTCAGGGGGGAAAAGGGAACCGGTGAGTCGTATACTGGACGGTAGGCAAGGCAACAAAACGCTCAGGCTCAGCCTTTACTGTTGCTCGCAACAAGATGTGCAGGCAGCCACAGCCATACACATGTTACTGAAATTTGAAACAAGCCCAACAGGCCCTTACCTTGCCAGGCCCCCCACTCCTGCCAGACGCGAATCCGCCTCCCCCCAGCCCCGCCGCGTCAGCACCCACCCCCACTCCCCCCGGCGCGCGGCGCTTCTTCCTCTTGTGCCCCGCGCCCACCCCATGCTGCCCGCTCTCCCCCTCCGACTCAGACGACTCCCCCTCGCCCCCGCGCTCCTCTATTCCGCTGCCCCCCGCGCCCCCGCTCATGTCCTCCGCCACAGGGGGGGGGCAACTGCTAGTGCGGGAGAGCTTCGTCCGCTCCCTTATGAGAGCTGCCATTGATGGTACAGTTGACGATAAATACCCTGCCATACTGCCACTGCCCATGCTCCCACTACCCATGCTACCCATACTACCACTCCCCATGCTCCCTAGCAGCCGATGCATGTGCAATTCCCGGTCCGGGCTCGTTGCCACCGAGCCTACTGCCGAGCTTGTTGCCGAGCCTGACGCCGCACCTATGCTCTGGTACGGCAGAGTCAGCCCCACGTGCGGGGAGACGTCTGGTGACATAGCATCGGGGAGCAATCGGTACAGCCTCTCCAGCTCTGCCACGTCACCGATGCTGGCGAGAAGGGCGCCAAGTGGCGGCGCGCTGCTGGTCCGCGAGAGGGGGTTGTTGTCGTCTAATCGGCCGTCAAGCTGAGCGGCTAGCAGGCTTAACTGCGTCTGCAGACTCATACCGGGTATTCCGCTCCCACTGCCTCCGCCACTGCCGCTGCCATCACTGCTGCTATTCAAAGCAGCAAGCCCAGCCATTCCCCCCATTCCTGCCATTCCCGCCATTCCCGCTCCCCCTACATTCCCCAACGCCCCCATGCCGCCTCCACCGCCAGCATAACCGCCCGGCATTCCCCCCAGCCCTGCGAGTCCCGCTGCGCCTCCCCCTGCTGCTCCCCCGCCCGCCCCTCCGCCCATCGCCCCCAGCATCAGCTGCTGCTGAATGCTCGCGGGCAAACCGGCTCTCGGCCAATGCCCCAGCGCGCCTGCCCGCGACCCGGAAAAGTTTCCTCTCGGGCTGCCCAGCTTGCCCGCGGCAGCGTTGGCGGCGGCAGCAGCGGCGGCGTTCCCTTTAGGAGACGGCAGCGGCAAGGGCGGCACGCCATGCCCCCCTGCTCCGCGAGAAGATATCCCCGCTTTAGACGGATCCACTGTAAGAGATTGTAGATGACCAGGGCCACCAGCACCAGCTACCCCTCCTGACCACCCTGCCAGTCCCGACCCGCCCCGAACGAGACCTCCCCCAGGTACACCCTCCCCTAGACCTCCCCCAGGTACACCCCCCCCTAGACCTCCCCCTCCTCCAGCATCCCCGCCTGCTACCAGCGCAGCTGCAGCAGCCGCAGCAGCCGCGGGGGAAAAGCCGGGGAACGCTCCAGCTTGCGCCGCGGGTGGTGCATTGGCGGAAGCGGTGACGTGGAATCCGAGATCCGCCGCGGCTTGGCTGAGTCGCGCTGCGCTGAGACTGAGCGTGCGCTGCTGGCTGAGGTTGCTCTTGGTCCGATTAGGGTTCGCCTCCTCGTCGCGACTGAAGCGGGACGGTGAGTGCACGGCTGCATGTCGCGGCGTGGAGGGGAGGATAAGGGGGTGGATAAGGGGGGAGCATAAGGAGGATAAGGGGGAGAATAAGGGGGAGGATAAGGGGTGGGAAATTAGGGGGAGGATAAGGGGGAGGATAAGGGGGAGGATAAGGGGGAGGATAAGAACGGAGAAGAATGAAAGATGGGAAGCCAAGAAAGAAAGGCGTGATGGCGAATGCGAGGTCGGGGCCGATAAGATTAAAACAGCAAAGAACGAACTGAGGAACGGAGAGACGAAAGATCTGCATAATGAGGAGCAGGAAAGCAAAGCTGGGTGGGCCTACCTACCTAGGGTAGCGGCAGCAGATACAGGCATTTCCTGAGCTCTCGACCCGCTTAATAAAGGGCCAACGGCCAGCAGGCTTACGAAGATCGAACGCCTGTTCCTGGCGTGTCTCGAGGTGCGAGACGCCGGGAAGGGAAGGACGGAGGCGTACCTCGAGGCGAGTAGCCCCATTCGAACGCCATGTCGGGGTGCATCTGCGCGCCGTCCCTGCTCGTCCCTCCCCCGCCCATGCCGCCAGCTGGGCCGCCTGACATTCTTTCAGCTAGCAGTACCAGTAGTAACGCTGTCGGTCGTGTAGGGTCTGAACGATTAAAGAGAATCCTCAAGGTGACTTCGCGGTACTTGAATGTCGGTTAAGCGGAGGGCGGTTAAGTGTCGCAGTGGCGGGTAGTAATAGTGCTGTGAGTTGCGAGGTTTCTACTATCACGCCTTTGAAGCGAATTCAGAAACTTGGCGACTCTCAAATAAGTTGCTACTAAGACGACCAATCTCTGAAGATTGCTTCTAGGCGTGAGAGACACCACTCGTTTGTTGTCCAATTGAACGGATGGTCAACTATAGCCCATGTCACGAGCCGCAACTGCGGCGACGGGAATGACACGTGTCAACCTGACAATGACACGTGCTTTTCTGACATATGTCACTTAAATACTACCTGAAAATAGAGTCACTTTTAGATACTGTTGACTGCGGAAGGGATAGGGAGGCATACCACTAACGGATACGAGCACTCTAGAATCAGATAGCGAAATCGACATGTAACCAGAGGGTTCGATAAATAAGCCAGGAGCAGAGCAAAAGGATCAATGAGATCCATCCAGAACCTAACGAGGATCGTCGTCACATCTGAAACGCAAGATGGAGATGTACAGTGAGGTTGCGCTCTGAAACAAGCAGGAACAAGAATGTGGTGGGAGGAAGGGAGGAGGTGGAGAACGTTGGCTTGGCTTCGCTTTGCAGACAGACCGTGAGTTGAGGGGTAGCGTTGTGAGAGGAGTTCATCGAGTGCCCTTCGGGATTGTCGCGTAGGTTTTGGCGGATTCTTTTCTCTGCTGGTGAGGCTATCTCGGGGATTGCTGGAATCGAATGGTGATGAGTAATCGTTGATGCGATGATGGGAGCAGCGATGGGTGACGCACTAACGGTGGCATTCGTAAACGCGTTCTCTTCCAGTCAATCTGGCAATTGAGCAACCGGGAATCCGAAGACCCAGATTTTCGTTCTGTGTGATCACCTTGACGCGGAAACTGGCAATAGAATCATGCCGCAAGGTTCTCTGCTTACTTTATTTTCACAACCATGGGCAGCAACCCTTGGCTTATACTCAACTGAGAGCCGTTTAGGAGGCTTCGGGATTGAAGAGGCGTTCCTGACTCCTCTCGATGTCATTCGAGATCGATGCATTACAACAGCCTCCAGCTTCTGGGTGTCCCGAAAAACTTGTTGGGTGTCGCTTTAATGAAAAGCTTCAGTGAGTGAAATAATGGGGAGTAGGTGTAGTTTCTCCTCAGTTATCATTTTTGCGGGGTTCAATTTCATGTGTGGTTCTGTGATGATGACCTACGAATGCTCCTTCCCGCAACTACAGTGCACAGGTGTTGAAGCAGCGTCCAGGTGGTGCGAACTGTTGTCGATCTGCAGAATCGAATTTGCACGGCATCCCAGAGGAGATTCCCTTACAGGAATTGAGTTCGCCTTGGCCTCTCGGTTGCAACACATAAAATCTTGGAACCACAAGTTCTACAGCACAAGCTCGCTCAAAGCCTAATGTACACGAAGCGAGTAGTGTAGATAAGCATGCTAAACATAGATCAGTGACCACGAGAAACAAGTCATGTTGCTTATTGGCCAAGCTCACGGAAAAAAGAGCTGAGTTGCTGCAACCCAATAAGAGCAAGGTCCGCAGCCAAAAACACCACAAGCTGAAACATGGCACATACAAAGATACCATTAGATTACCAAAATTTAAGGTTGTTAGAACATGCTTGTGATGAACCATAGAGCTACTACTTACCAGTCGGCCGAAAAAGGTGGCACGGTACTGCCATCCCTCAGTTTTGGCAAGGCGGCGTTGAGGATCAGTCCAACTGCATGAAGAGAAACCAATAAGAAAATATACCGTAAGTCAGGGCTTCCGTCAGAAGGCCGACACAACATTTCCTACAGAATATACGTACCCAATGAACTCAGACATGCCTCCAATGCCCGCCAACTGAAGGGGAACAGGACCCTCCCGCTCGAAGTCCTGCAATAGCAAGCCGCCACAGTGCAACTCAGCAGGTTATCACAACAATGTAATGAGTTGAAGCATTGCACCATCAAACATGTCTGTACTGACGTCAAGAATGTGATAAGGTAATGAGCAGGAATATGGAAAGGTGATACATGGAAATAGCAGAGGTGGCACTAACAGGAATGCCAAAATGAAAAACTTACCTCGTCACTGGCAGTGTCGAAGCCACCAGTTAGCCAATAGATATTTCTGTAGCCAGCCTTGTAAAGGTGCTCACATGCTGCAAGAGATCTGCAAGACATTGCAGTACGGAGAGTTCAGTGTTGGATAAGGGCAGTTGCAGCAAAAGACCGCGAAATACACACTGACTCTGGAATAAGGAAGTGCCTACCGCAAACCCTTCTGGCACGCAACAATAATGTTGGCACTCTTGGGAATTTTAGCCACAACGTCAGCCATGAATCGCCTGCAACAAGGAACAAAAGACTGTCATATCAAGACCACAGGAAGAACCCTCTCTATCAGGGAAAAGTAACAGGAAGCGAGGAGGGGTGGGAAGAAACTGGCGATCAGAGCTTCCTAGGCAAGGCTACGGATGTCAATTGTTCTTTACCAACTAGAGTTAAGGATGTCACTAGCAACTTACTCGTTTCTCTTGTTTACTGACGCTCCAGACCACCATCCTCCTGAAATGGCACAAAAGAGTGACAGAAGTTGGCGAAGTGTACCATAAAAATTGAGGGCATGTGACGTGCCAACCGCAGCAGCGATTCGTCTGATTCCTCTGATACAACGTGAGACTAGTCCAACTTAGATTTGTGCGTTCAGTATTGCGCAAGTGTGTTCACGACAACTAGCTTTCATTGTAACTGGAGAAAATCAACAATCACAAAAGGCCTAAAATCATGCATTCCCTCTAACAAAAACTGAATCCCCCAAGGCACTCACCCATCATGAAGGTCATCACTTTCTGGGACAAGACCCCTGGGCTGGCACTGTTGTCGACGTCGAAGGCAGGAATCCACAGGGAGCCCTTTACCCAAGCCTGAAACCGATGAAACCAATAGCGGGTTTGCAAAGTGGAGGAACGACTTGGAATTGCAAAAATATATGTCCGTTTTAATACGCCACGGTACGCGAAGGTTGTCAGAGCAAAGAGAACCGACGGATTGCAACCCGACTAACCTTGTTGTGCTGATACGATGGTCGCACGTCAAGCAGTACGTAGTCGGACAGCTGGTAAGTGTACCCCGCTTCCTTCGCAGACAGTGACTTCACCTTGCCCTCGGCAATCTGCAGAAACAGCAATTTGAGCAATTATTCCCTAAATATGCAGAAGAAAGACATCCGGAGGACAGTCAACAGACACGCACCTGAGTCCTCCACCGTTTCTCAGCATTGGCAAACTCCACCATTTCCTCTTTCAAATCAGTCGCTGCCATAATCTGCAGATTCTGTGTAGAAAATCAGAAACGTAAAACCGCAAATTGAGGGAGGGGAGGCGATTGAAACAATATCGCAAAGTTGGCCGACACAATCTAGCCACTCTAAAAAAAAAACCCTTCGAGGCCAAGCTCAGCCAACTACGACGTACTTTTCTCTGAAAGCTGCGGCTCGATGCGTTAGCCGAGGCACGTCTAGAACGAATCTGGAGAGCAGGAAGGCCATAAACGCTTGACGATGAGCAAGCGAGGGAGGATTTTCCTGCGGCTGTGCACGCAGTTGGAACGACCAAAGACGCGCCGCTAGCTAGCGCCGCCATTCTAACAGTCCCAACAAACAGCCGAGAGAGCAAAGTTCGACGGGAAAAATCGTACGTCCAAGGCGAGCAAAGAACAGTGAGGATTGTAGACAACTGCCAGTTACAATCTACGGAATCGGAAGCTAAGTTATGTCGTTCACAGAGAGGCAAATCCGAAACTGGGATCAACAATGGCAATTTGTGAGAAAAGGCGCAGGGTGGATGGAGAGTCAAGCCAGATTACTGCAGCAGGCGAAAAGAAAACCTGCTGAGTTCTGGTTGGGCAGGTTTGGATTCAACAATGGCAGTGAAATCCAAGTTGTCCGACGTGGCGGAGAATCATACCTGGAGATGTTTCCAGGGCGATTCGCTTTGGAACACTTCCGCTCCACGTCGGCACAGAATCACACAGCTTGCCAAAGCAAGAATCTCCAAAAGTGCACTTTCCTTCCGTATAAGCGAATGCACATTAGTGTACAGTCCGTCACGCAAAAAGTGCGTGCTTCAGGAACGCGCAAGTTCGATATTCTCAAGGCTGACCAGCTTCTCTCAACCTGCATTGAGACTCCCCAAGCTTCGAAACAAATTCATCTGTATCCAGCATTGGACATTCAATCATCCCTCCTGCATTGCAGCAGCTTGTTAGGCATTTGCTGCTTGCCCTCGAGTTTTCGCAATTCCGATTGCTGTCCGTAGCCTCGTCCCTCATGGCATCGGCCCTGGCCCCTGCTGCACTTCTCCAGAGCGCTTTCCTCGGCAAGGATCTCAGGTGAGGTAACGGTAACGGTGACGGTAAAGGTAACGGTAACGGAGCTGAGACTCCAATGTCGGCGGACTTCGGAGCGCCGTCGAGCTTCGTTACTCCCTTGCTTGCATCCGCACGCGTGAACTGAAACTGCCATCGTTAAACCTGCGTTGATTCGCTGGCATGCGATATGTCACCCGCGGTGCTCTGTGCCTGCCTGCTTGCCTGCCTGTGCCAGGCGAGGTTTCGCTGGAAACTCTGTCCGTTCGGCATCGCTGGGCCTGCGTGCGTGGAGTTGTGAATCTCAGCGTGTCGTCGGTGCCTCGTCACGAGTGAGTGTATGGCGGAAATTTCGGGCCATGAGAACAGACGGAACACGGATCTCTAGCCAGCGTCAGCGCGCGTTGCATGATCAACATTCCTTTCGGCTCGTGAAAGATGTCCCGTCGATTTAGGATCAATGCCCCTTCGCTGTGCGACAGACCCCTCGTCCGTGCATGAACGATATCACCTCACATTCAAATCGAATTCGCGCCTGGATGGATGCTAATTGCATCGCGTCTCTGTCCACCCATTCACCCGTCCACCCGTCCACTTGCTCTCGTGTGGCATGCTCGCAGCAAAGGTCCACGTCAGCCGCACCGCCATCCAAGAAATCGGGTACGACCGTCTCGTCATCTCTCCAACCTCCCCTGTCGTCAACACTATCCCCCGACTCCCCGCCCCCCTCCCCCCTTCGGCGGAAGCTGCTGCTTGCGTCCGCGCTGCTGCCGCTGGCGTCGCTGCAAGGAAGCGGTTGCGCGCAGGCTGGCGCGGGAGGTGGGGTGGGGAAAGGTGGGGGCTCCCTAGAAGAAGATGAGGGGGAAGGGGAGGTATGGTGAAGCGTGGGAAGATGAGAAGGAGGCGAGATGGGGGGGACGGAGGGGGGGGTAGGAGGGGAGGGGGAGGGCCTGAAGGAGAGACGGCTGGTTATGCATATTCTTGATGTTCCTTTTTCTGTGCGCATGGCACATGCATGACATGTCCGTCTTTTATTCCGTTTGACTTTTGAGTCGACTCGAAAGTCACTTCCTGTTCTGTGCGCATCACACATGCATGACATGTCTGTCTCTCATGCCATTTGCTCTCATTCCATCCGTGCTCTCCCCCGCAGGCATGGCTGCAGCAGCATCGGCGTCAGCAGTGGCAGCAGCAGCGGAGGGGGCATCGGTGGACGCGATTGAGAAGACGCTGCTGATTGTGGGTGCCGGCACGCTGGGATCACTGGTGGCGCAGCAATGGCAGCAGGTGAGAGGGAGACAGAGAGAGGGAGACAGAGAGAGGGAGACAGAGAGAGGGAGACAGAGAGAGGGAGGCTTTTCTCTTACCTCCAGCGCTATCCAGGCTGTTGGAGACATTCCACGAGCTGCTCCTCCTTCCTCCTCTCTCTCCCTCTTCCTTCTCTATCCCCTCTCTCTTCTCTACAGATGCCACCTTTCTCTCTCCCCACCAGCGCTACCCAGGAAGGCAACGTGTGGGGGAAGACGTGGTCAAACACACGCAACGGGCTGCTCTGATCTCTCCGTCCTCTTCTCTGCACCCGTTTCCCCATTTGTCCTTCTCTCAACTTTCTGCACCCCTCTGCACCTCTCTGCACCTATCTCCACCGCTCGCCCATGTGTACCTTTCTCCCTCCTATGTTGACCACCTTTCTCCCTTTCAGCGCTTCCCAGGGGCCAAGGTGTACGGGCAGACGAGGTCAGACACGCGTCACGAGCAGCTCCAATCTCCCCTCCAATCCTTCACCCCTCTACACCTCTCTCCACCGCCCGCTCCTCTCCCTCCCAGCGCTTCCCAGGAGCCAAGGTGTACGGGCAGACGAGGTCAGACACGCGCCACGAGCAACTCAGGTCAATGGGGTTCTTTCCCATCCTGCGTGACGTCAGCGATGACGCCATCACGGGCGGCGTGCCGTTTGTCATCTTCTGCGCGCCACCGGGCGGCAGTCAGGACTACGAGGGTGACGTGAGGTGAGATGCAGGTGCTGGTTAGACTCGTCTTCCATCACCCCTTCTTTCCCTCCCCTCCCCTTGCCTCTCCTCCCCTCTCCATTTCCCTCCTCGCCTCCCTGGTCTTTCCTCTCTGTTCTCTTCTCTCTTGTTTCCACACGCCTCATCTCATGACCACCCCCCCTCATGACCAACCCCCCCTTCTCGTTCCCCCTTTCCCCATACCTAAGGCAATTATGATTCGCCTTAGAAGTCACCTTATGCCGCCTCTCCTCCAATACCTTTCCCATGACAACCCTGCGCTCCCTCCCGCCTCTTGTTGCCGGGCAGCAGCACCCCTGTGGAACGGCACGGGTGCATTCCTCTGCACGTCCAGCAGTGCTGTCTACGCCGTCTCTGACAACTCCTTCTGCCCCGAGGGCTCACCCACTGTCCCTCCAACCCCTTTCTACCAGTCCCCTTGACCAACCCCCTCCCTTTTCTCCCCTCTTCTTGTTTTCCAGGGCAGCAGCAGCACTATCAACGGCACGGGTGCATTCCTTCTCACCTCCAGCAGCGCCGTCTATGCCGTCTCTGACAACTCCTTCTGTCCGTCCCCCTCCTACCCCTTCTTACAGGGCAGCAGCAGCCCTATGGAACGGCACAGGCGCCTTCTTGTTCACGTCCAGCAGCGCCGTCTACGCCGTCTCAGACAACTCCTTCTGCCCCGAGGGGGCGCCTACCGTGCCGCTCGGCGCCAGCCCGCGCGTCGACGTGCTGCTAAAAGCCAAGGCGCCGCCCTGCAGGCGGGCGGCAACGTGGTGCGGCTGGCAGGGCTGTACACTCTGGAGAGGGGCGCACACACGTACTGGCTACGACAGGGGACGGTGGATCAGCGGCCTGATCACATTCTCAATCTTATCAGCTATGAGGTATGTGGCAGCCATATCATGCCGAGATTACTTCTGAGTCGACTCCAAAAGCGGCAATGTGGTGCGTCTGGAGGGGCTGTACACTCTGGAGAGGGGCGCACACACGTACTGGCTGCGACAGGGGACGGTGGATCAGCGACCGGATCACATCCTGAACCTCATCAGCTACGAGGTATGTGGCAGCCACATCATTCCCCTCTCAGATACGGCTCAATTCTGTACCTCTGCCTCTTGGGCCTTGCCCCCTACTCTCTGCCCCCTGCCGGTATCCCCACCTTGCGCCTGCCCCCTGCTTGACTCCCTTCCTTCCACTCCCCTGTGCATGTGCAGGACGCGGCATCCCTGTGTGCAACCATTCTAGCAGCGCGGCCGCGAGGGCAGATCTTCATGGGCTGTGACAACCACCCTCTCTCCAGGTCAGTGCCTTTTCAGGCGCCTCAGAACTTGCCTGCGTTGGTGAATCTTCATGGACTGTGATGCTTTCGCGCGTGCTCTCCATGTCAGCGCCCCTCGCACCACCCTCTTTCCATCTCAGATCAACCATCTATCATAAACACCATGCATCCCATGCACCCCATGCATCCCATGCATCCCATGCACCCCATGCACACCATGCACCCCATGCACACCATGCACCCCAAGCACCCCATGCACCCCATGCACCCCATGCACCACACCCCCCCAACCCATGCGAGCAGGCAAGAGCTAATGGATCTGACGGTGAGGAGCGGCCGGTTCGAGGGCGAGTTCAAGGGCTTCACGGGCACAGAGGGGCCGCTGGGCAAGCGCATGTGCAACGATGCCACGCGGGCTGCCCTGGGGTGGGAGCCCACTCACAAGAGCTTTGCTCACTTCCTTGGCCTCGAGTCGTAGAGTCGAGTCAAGACACTGCATAAAGCGCATTGGGACATTGTGTAGGGTTGACTCAACGAGTGCATGTGCAGCGATGCCGTGCGGTCTGCCCTGGGGTGGGAGCCCACTCACAAGAGCTTTGCTCACTACCTCGGACTAGAGTCGCAGAGTCAAAAACACATGTTTGTACACTCTTAGTAGGAGTGTCCTTGGGGGTTGAGACGCTCAGTTATGGGTTGTCTGAAAGTGCGAAGGTGTAATTACACGTCATGGGCTGCCCTGGGATGTGAGCCCTCTCAACCAAGCATTGCTCACTTCCTTGCCAGCATCTTATTTACTTACAATTTCACTACGTACGAGTAGCAGCAGTGCAATTTTGAGCACCCGCCAATGCTGCTACTGTGTGCAGTGCCTTTGCATAAGTACATGTCAGTGCCCGCAGCTGAGCACACTAATTGTAGAACAGCTGCAACATACACAGGTCTAATGCACAGAAGCATGGCAGCACCACAGCCCAGCTAAGCCCATACACGCAGCTGCAGGTGACACAACACAGGTGCGATGTAATGCTCCTACTGCTACCGTATGTTTGGAATGCCTGTGGTGTGAATTTACAAACCCCGTGGTTACGGTAGTACAGTGTGCTTGATTATGCAAGCCCTGTGGTTAGGGTGCTCATTCTAAAAAGCCCTGTGGTTAGTGTGCTCATTCTACATGCCATAGAGTGATTGTGCTTGAACTGCAAGCTGTAGTTAGTGTGCTCGCTCAATTGTACAAGCCCCGCAATGTTGTTGTACTCGATTCTTCTCACGCTGTCAGTAGTGTGCTTGATCCAGCAAGCCCTGTAGTTAGTGTGCTCGATTCAGCAAGCCCTGTTGTTAGTGTGCTCGATTCAGCAAGCCTTGTAGTGTGCTCGATTCAGCAAGCCCTGTTGTTAGTGTGCTCGATTCTGCAAGCCTTGTAGTGTGCTCGGTTCAGCCCTGTAGTTTGTGTGCTCGGTTCAGCAAGCCCTGTAGTTAGTGTGCTCAAAGTACAAGCCGTGCAGCTAGTGTGCTCAATTCTATTAACCCTGCAGTTAATGGGCTAGATTGTACGAGTTCTGTAGTCAGTGGGCCCAATTCTACAATCCCTGTGGTTTGTGTGCTCATTTATACAAGCCCTGCTGTTATTGTGCTCCTGTAGTTAGCGTGCGCGATTCTACCAGCCGTGCAGTTAGTGTGCTATATTCAACAAGCCATGTTGGTAGTGCATCATGATGCCCGAGACCTGTAACTCGTGCTCCCTACGCACACCCCCGTGGTTTGCATGCCCCAAGGCACAACCCTATGGTTAGTGTGGACGAGTCCTGTGGTTAGTGTGGACGAGCCCTGTGGTTAGTGTGCACGAGCCCTGTCAAATCCTGTGGTTAGTGTGCACGAGCCCTGTCAAGTCCTGTGGTTAGAGTACGCATGGGCTCGCTGAGGTGGGTGGGCCCCAAGGGAGGGAAGAGGGAGGGCCAACGCAGGGAGTGTGGGGAAAGGGACAGGGGGAGGGAGTGTGGGGGGAATCCGACGCAGGGGTGGGGGGGGATGGGATGGGGGGGAGGGAGGGGATACCGTACCTGAGAGCGTTACTAGTCTAGTAATCCTACCAGTATAACCTAATTAAACTGGTTCAGCTCTAACCTATGTGGTCTTCATAGTCCCGCCTGAGCTGCCACATGGAACTGCCTTGCCTGCCACATGGAACTGCCTTGCCTGCCACATGGAACTGCCTTGCCTGCCACATGGAACTGCCTTGCCTGCCACATGGAACTGCCTTGCCTGCCACATGGAACTGCCTTGCCTGCCACATGGAACTGCCTTGCCTGCCACATGGAACTGCCTTGCCTGCCACATGGAACTGCCTTGCCTGCCACATGGAACTGCCTTGCCTGCCACATGGAACTGCCTTGCCTGCCACATGGAACTGCCTTGCCTGCCACATGGAACTGCCTTGCCTGCCACATGGAACTGCCTTGCCTGCCACATGGAACTGCCTTGCCTGCCACATGGAACTGCCTTGCCTGCCACATGGAACTGCCTTGCCTGCCACATGGAACTGCCTTGCCTGCCACATGGAACTGCCTTGCCTGCCACATGGAACTGCCTTGCCTGCCACATGGAACTGCCTTGCCTGCCACATGGAACTGCTTCGGTTGACCTGCAAGCAAACTAGAGGGGGCAAGGCACACGAGATTTGAGATTCACGACATGATAAAATCAGATATGATTCGAGAAGAGGAACCTTGGACGCTGGAAAAAAAAAGGAACGTAAAGGCTGACAAAGGACCTTGGGGCAGAGAAGAAAAGGGTTGAGTTAGCAGCCTTGCAATGAGAAAGAGGATCATATTGGCCTTGTCTCACTTGGCCGTGCCTGATGTCCGTCCCATGCCACCACTGCCGACCTTGCCTGAAGAATTGAATGTAGGGAGGGAGGAGAATATGAGTGCATTCATGAAAAAGGGTAATGAAGGGTAGGGAAGAAGTGAGTGGGAGGCCAGGAAAACATTGTGTAGAGGGAAGTTAATGTGGAGATGGACGGACAGGTGAGAGTGAAGCAGAGTAGTTAATCACATTCAGAGCATTGAAGGAACGAGTCAACGGGAATAAGAAGGGTGACGACATGTCCAAGGGACTTACCACATTACAATTCTTCTCCCTCACCTCTGCTCCCTTATTGCTGCTCCCTCATGTTTGCTCCCTCATGTCTGCTCCCTCATGTCTGCTCCCTTATGTCTGCTCCCTCATGTTTGCTCCCTCATGTCTGCTCCCTCATGTCTGCTCCCTCATGTCTGCTCCCTCATGTCTGCTCCCTCATGTCTGCTCCCTCATGTCTGCTCCCTCATGTCTGCTCCCTCATGTCTGCTCCCTCATGTCTGCTCCCTCATGTCTGCTCCCTCATGTCTGCTCCCTCATGTTTGCTCCCTCATGTCTGCTCCCTCATGTCTGCTCCCTCATGTCTGCTCCCTCATGTCTGCTCCCTCATGTCTGCTCCCTCATGTCTGCTCCCTCATGTCTGCTCCCTCATGTCTGCTCCCTCATGTCTGCTCCCTCATGTCTGCTCCCTCATGTCTGCTCCCTCATGTCTGCTCCCTCATGTCTGCTCCCTCATGTCTGCTCCCTCATGTCTGCTCCCTCATGTCTGCTCCCTCATGTCTGCTCCCTCATGTCTGCTCCCTCATGTTTGCTCCCTCATGTCTGCTCCCTCATGTCTGCTCCCTCATGTCTGCTCCCTCATGTCTGCTCCCTCATGTTTGCTCCCTCATGTCTGCTCCCTCATGTCTGCTCCCTCATGTCTGCTCCCTCATGTCTGCTCCCTCATGTCTGCTCCCTCATGTCTGCTCCCTCATGTCTGCTCCCTCATGTCTGCTCCCTCATGTCTGCTCCCTCATGTCTGCTCCCTCATGTCTGCTCCCTCTTGTCTGCTCCCTCATGTCTGCTCCCTCATGTCTGCTCCCTCTTGTCTGCTCCCTCTGTGTCATCCTTGGCTTCGGAACATCTGGGACAGTGGCAGATCAACAACGTATGATGAGATGAAGGATTGGCAAGAGAGTCGAAGGCAAGTACAGGCCGCTAGTGAAGAAGGCAAGTAAAGGAGGGAGGCTCTGGAAACCAAGAGAATATGAAAGGAAGAGGATAGAATACAACAAGGGCAAGAGAGATCTTACCACGACTGCAGAAGCAACGTCTTGTCCTCCTGCGCTTCCTCCCCTTCTTCTCTGCTTCCTGTGCTTCCTCCTCTCCTCTGCATCATGGCCGTCCTCTGCTCATTTCCTCCTCTGCTTTTGCCACAACACTTCTACAACCTGCATACAAGGTGAAGCAGCCTACTGCCCACTGCCTACAGCCCACAGCCTTTAGCCTACAGCCTTTAGCCTACAGCATGTACTATGCCTAGAGATACAGCCAACAGCATACACCCTACCAGCTGTACTAGACATCGAGATAGCCTACAGCCTACAGCCTATAATAACAGAACAAGAGCCACAGAAAATTAAGCTTATAATGTTAATCCCATCACTTCCTTCACACAGACCACAAAGCAAACATCCCAGAATTGTTTGTTCTTTCCATTTCGCATAGTTTCAGTGCTTGTTCGTTTTCCCTTGATGCTTGCCCTGTAGTTAGGCGCTGCCCTGTAGTCAGAGTGGGGTTAGCGTACCTGTAGTTAGGCGCTGCCCTGTAGTCAGAGTGGGGTTAGCGTACCTGTAGTTAGGCGCTGCCCTGTAGTCAGAGTGGGGTTAGCGTACCTGTAGTTAGGCGCTGCCCTGTAGTCAGAGTGGGGTTAGCGTACCTGTAGTTAGGCGCTGCCCTGTAGTCAGAGTGGGGTTAGCGTACCTGTAGTTAGGCGCTGCCCTGTAGTCAGGGTGGAATTGCCCTGTGGTTAGTGAGCTTGGGTCGTGGGCTAGAGAGATGGATGGTCGATGGGTGGGTGGTCGGTTGGATGGGTTAGTGGGTGGAAGGGTGGGGAGTGGGGGGGGGGACGGGTAGCGAAGGCAAGGAAGGCAGGAAGGGTGGGGAGGGGGGGTGGGGGGGGGGGCGGGGTTGTGTTCCTAGCAAGCAAGGTTCAACCTACGCAGAGCATCCTAGAGCCCTTCCTAAGCCTTCATTCTTCAGTCTTCAGTCTTCTCTCCTGACCATAGCCATCTCAGTTGCCCTGCAAGCGAGGGAAGCGGGCACGGGGCAGGCAGCAGGGAGCGAGTCAGAAGGGCAGAGACTGCCTTGCTTGCAGCATCAGCAACAGCAACATCTGAGGAGTGCAACGCAGGACAACAGCACCGGCACCATCAACAGCAGCACCAGAGCTGGCAGCAGCATCTGAGGAGAGCATCGCAGGACAAGCAGAGGCTGCCTTGGCTGTCCTGCGAGAAAGCTGCGCACAGCTGCAATTGCTGTATTGTTCTATGATAAGGATTGTTCGAGGAGTGGAGTGGATGGTAGCGTGTGGCTCACCAGAGTGGAGTGTCCGAGGTGGTGAGACTGTGGCAGTGCGGCCCCAATCTTGAAGTGTCAGTTGGAGTGCTGCTCTGCATGTCAGTAGGCCGTGCGGCCCCAGTCGTACCAGTGGGACCAGCAGCAACACCAGCAGCAACAGCAGCGGGACAGGAAGCGCCATCACCATCGGCAGCAGCACTCGCTCCACCGCCCTCAGTAGCTGCAATCACCATCACCATCACCATCACCATCACCATCAGCAGCAGCACCAGAGCCGTCAGCTGTAGCACCAGCTTTATCAACATCAACACCAGCCCGCACCATCGCACCCTTCCACTCCAATGGAATTCACGCTGCAGGAAAAAGATGGGTAGAGGGAGGGGGAAATGGGTGGAGGGAGGGGGGGTGGCGAGCAGCTAGGGAAGGTGAATGAGGCGGGGAGAGGAAGCGAGCAAACACAAGGAGCAACGGGACAACAGGAGTCTTGAAGCAATAACGGATGAATGCATGAATGTGAAACGAGTGTGTATACCAGAGGCTGGATGGACCACAGCTGTGTTGAGCTTCGTTTCGCTTTTCAAGTGTCAGTTGGGGTGCTGCTCTGCATGCGGCCGCTCCAACAGCAGAAGCACCAGCACCATCAACAGCAGAAGCACCAGCACCATCAACAGCAGAAGCACCAGCACCATCAACAGCAGAAGCACCAGCACCATCAACAGCAGAAGCACCAGCACCATCAACAGCAGAAGCACCAGCACCATCAACAGCAGAAGCACCAGCACCATCAACAGCAGAAGCACCAGCACCATCAACAGCAGAAGCACCAGCACCATCAACAGCAGAAGCACCAGCACCATCAACAGCAGAAGCACCAGCACCATCAACAGCAGAAGCACCAGCACCATCAACAGCAGAAGCACCAGCACCATCAACAGCAGAAGCACCAGCACCATCAACAGCAGAAGCACCAGCACCATCAACAGCAGAAGCACCAGCACCATCAACAGCAGAAGCACCAGCACCATCAACAGCAGAAGCACCAGCACCATCAACAGCAGAAGCACCAGCACCATCAACAGCAGAAGCACCAGCACCATCAACAGCAGAAGCACCAGCACCATCAACAGCAGAAGCACCAGCACCATCAACAGCAGAAGCACCAGCACCATCAACAGCAGAAGCACCAGCACCATCAACAGCAGAAGCACCAGCACCATCAACAGCAGAAGCACCAGCACCATCAACAGCAGAAGCACCAGCACCATCAACAGCAGAAGCACCAGCACCATCAACAGCAGAAGCACCAGCACCATCAACAGCAGAAGCACCAGCACCATCAACAGCAGAAGCACCAGCACCATCAACAGCAGAAGCACCAGCACCATCAACAGCAGAAGCACCAGCACCATCAACAGCAGAAGCACCAGCACCATCAACAGCAGAAGCACCAGCACCATCAACAGCAGAAGCACCAGCACCATCAACAGCAGAAGCACCAGCACCATCAACAGCAGAAGCACCAGCACCATCAACAGCAGAAGCACCAGCACCATCAACAGCAGAAGCACCAGCACCATCAACAGCAGAAGCACCAGCACCATCAACAGCAGAAGCACCAGCACCATCAACAGCAGAAGCACCAGCACCATCAACAGCAGAAGCACCAGCACCATCAACAGCAGAAGCACCAGCACCATCAACAGCAGAAGCACCAGCACCATCAACAGCAGAAGCACCAGCACCATCAACAGCAGAAGCACCAGCACCATCAACAGCAGAAGCACCAGCACCATCAACAGCAGAAGCACCAGCACCATCAACAGCAGAAGCACCAGCACCATCAACAGCAGAAGCACCAGCACCATCAACAGCAGAAGCACCAGCACCATCAACAGCAGAAGCACCAGCACCATCAACAGCAGAAGCACCAGCACCATCAACAGCAGAAGCACCAGCACCATCAACAGCAGAAGCACCAGCACCATCAACAGCAGAAGCACCAGCACCATCAACAGCAGAAGCACCAGCACCATCAACAGCAGAAGCACCAGCACCATCAACAGCAGAAGCACCAGCACCATCAACAGCAGAAGCACCAGCACCATCAACAGCAGAAGCACCAGCACCATCAACAGCAGAAGCACCAGCACCATCAACAGCAGAAGCACCAGCACCATCAACAGCAGAAGCACCAGCACCATCAACAGCAGAAGCACCAGCACCATCAACAGCAGAAGCACCAGCACCATCAACAGCAGAAGCACCAGCACCATCAACAGCAGAAGCACCAGCACCATCAACAGCAGAAGCACCAGCACCATCAACAGCAGAAGCACCAGCACCATCAACAGCAGAAGCACCAGCACCATCAACAGCAGAAGCACCAGCACCATCAACAGCAGAAGCACCAGCACCATCAACAGCAGAAGCACCAGCACCATCAACAGCAGAAGCACCAGCACCATCAACAGCAGAAGCACCAGCACCATCAACAGCAGAAGCACCAGCACCATCAACAGCAGAAGCACCAGCACCATCAACAGCAGAAGCACCAGCACCATCAACAGCAGAAGCACCAGCACCATCAACAGCAGAAGCACCAGCACCATCAACAGCAGAAGCACCAGCACCATCAACAGCAGAAGCACCAGCACCATCAACAGCAGAAGCACCAGCACCATCAACAGCAGAAGCACCAGCACCATCAACAGCAGAAGCACCAGCACCATCAACAGCAGAAGCACCAGCACCATCAACAGCAGAAGCACCAGCACCATCAACAGCAGAAGCACCAGCACCATCAACAGCAGAAGCACCAGCACCATCAACAGCAGAAGCACCAGCACCATCAACAGCAGAAGCACCAGCACCATCAACAGCAGAAGCACCAGCACCATCAACAGCAGAAGCACCAGCACCATCAACAGCAGAAGCACCAGCACCATCAACAGCAGAAGCACCAGCACCATCAACAGCAGAAGCACCAGCACCATCAACAGCAGAAGCACCAGCACCATCAACAGCAGAAGCACCAGCACCATCAACAGCAGAAGCACCAGCACCATCAACAGCAGAAGCACCAGCACCATCAACAGCAGAAGCACCAGCACCATCAACAGCAGAAGCACCAGCACCATCAACAGCAGAAGCACCAGCACCATCAACAGCAGAAGCACCAGCACCATCAACAGCAGAAGCACCAGCACCATCAACAGCAGAAGCACCAGCACCATCAACAGCAGAAGCACCAGCACCATCAACAGCAGAAGCACCAGCACCATCAACAGCAGAAGCACCAGCACCATCAACAGCAGAAGCACCAGCACCATCAACAGCAGAAGCACCAGCACCATCAACAGCAGAAGCACCAGCACCATCAACAGCAGAAGCACCAGCACCATCAACAGCAGAAGCACCAGCACCATCAACAGCAGAAGCACCAGCACCATCAACAGCAGAAGCACCAGCACCATCAACAGCAGAAGCACCAGCACCATCAACAGCAGAAGCACCAGCACCATCAACAGCAGAAGCACCAGCACCATCAACAGCAGAAGCACCAGCACCATCAACAGCAGAAGCACCAGCACCATCAACAGCAGAAGCACCAGCACCATCAACAGCAGAAGCACCAGCACCATCAACAGCAGAAGCACCA